TATGGGAAAACGTGTCCAATAGAGACATGCGCCTCTTTATTCGAGCTCTAAACACAATGAATTGGAAATTTTCGCTGATGCTTTCGCTGGAGAGGGGAACTCGCGTGTCTGTCTGGAGGAAATTACCTGGGCCAATTTGGAGTAGGGTTAATTGGAAAGCTTCTTGGCGATTTGCGTTTCTTTTTAATACAACGAATAACTATACCCCAAGTAAGACAACAAACGGCATTTCACAAATCTTCTTTTGCTTCTTCTAAAGGAATTCTTAATACCACCTTTTTAAATTATTTTTTTTTTATATCAAAAGTATGAGAAAACTGTTATGATATGGTTATAAATAAAATGTATCGTCGGTTAGCCCACTAACCAGCACAAAAACAATGTAAACCAACGCTTCAGAGTGAGAAAAACTACGGTTTTTGAAGTAAACATCCCTCGGGCAAAATAAATTTGTCAATGTTATCTCTCGCAAATATTTTAACACGAATGCCCGTGTCCTGCGCCGACTAATTTGCATACGGCTGTGGAAAATAAAATAAAATAAAGTAAAAAGGCGAAATTTACATAATCTGGGGAGACAAAATGGCCGTGTAGGCCCTGACTTCGACGCTCTTCGCATTCGCATGCTAAACAGAGCCCGTTGCCACCTTCTTATTTTCTCGAGTCAATACGCACGGATCCGGAGCACGTGTGCCAGACTCTCTAATGAGTGGAGTAAGTAGCCCCGGCGAACCCCGGCCACCTGGAGGCCCACGATTAACCTCAACTGAGCGGGAACGTGTTTAGTTTCAAAACTGACTTAATTAAGCCAGGCCGTCTGACGTCATCGATGGCTGATTTTAATTAAAGCCCTCGCCGAAATCGCTGAGGGAAGCGAGTCGCACAAATGTGATATATCTGCGGATGGCAGCCGACGATATCTGTTTTTCCAGAAAACAGGGCCGAAACCCCAACCACCAACCACCCGCTTGAAAGGGAAACACTCTGGAAATTTATTTATCAAAGAAACGGAAAGCCAAAATGGTCATTTGCCTCATTTAGCTGGTGCCTTTGCCACATTTTTTTCCTTTGTTTGTGTCCCATTCCCCGATTCCCTGATTCCCCGATTCACTTATTCACACCCAAAGTAATCGCCAGCGAAAGTTCTCCTTGGGGTGCTCACTCGCAACTGTGAGTGATTGTTTGAATAATTGAAGGGATTCGAGGAGGTGTTTGCGGCCAGGCAGAAAAATCAGGCAGGATGTCGGAGATCACAGGAAATTTATATGGGTTCCAGGCCGGTTGTAAAGTTTTAGTTGGTTAAACTTTCGAAGGGACGTTGAGCCTACAGCGAAACTTGTTATGACAGGGTGTCTGTTTTAAATAATTTTCAAGTATAGTAGGATGTTTACCTACAATACCCACTGTACCATAAAATAAGAATTACTGTTAAAGATCAGAGATGTATAGCCATCTCTCTCGCTCTCATAGAATAAAATAGAGTAGAATAGGTTTATGATCATGTATTGCGAGCTCGCTCACGCGGCTGAACGAGGAGAAGAAGGAAGAGAATAAAAAAAGGTATTCAACGTCAGACACTTAAAAGGAGCAGTCGCATATTTTGAATAAAAGTGAGTAAAGAAATAAAACGAAAGTCTTGTTACTGTTACACAAGAAATTTCTTAAAGTAAGGATCTAGGACTTTAAAATAAACATTGCATTAGCAAATGAAATCATTAAGGCACGAGTTCAATGAGGCATGTCAGTTTCTTTAAAGCTCATCATCGAATTTAAAGTTTGTCAGAAAGCTCTATTATTCCAACCTCTTACAGAGCTCAGTAGTATCGTTTCTTATAATTTGGCTTAGCCAGCCCCACACTTTCCCACAAATTGACCTACCCTAACCTAAGCTCCTTCAAATTATGCCCAGCTTATCGCTGTCACACGCATAATTTGCTCTTGGATTTCTGGTTCTGGCTGAGGGCTGATAATTATCTCGGGGCATAAAATTACGCATGCATATGCTGCTAATTCGGCCCACGGAAGTGGGAGTATGTACCGTGGTTTCATCCTCATCATCGTCATCGTCATCGTCATCATCATCGTCGTCCTCATCCTCGTCGGCATCCCCATTAATGCCCTTTTTGGCACTGGCCTCATCGCCGCGCGTGGCCAACTTTTCACTGCTCGCAATGCCAATACCGCTGGAGGAGTCGCTCGAGTGGAGTCCGCCGACTAGACCATGACCACTGCCACTGTTCTGGCCACAGTTGCCATTGCCGTTACCGATTGCGCTGCTGCTGCCAATGTCCCTGGGCATAATGCGTCCGAAACCGGTGGAAAGTGCGAGGGCTTGCTCGCGATTACTTGCAGCTCTCAGATCATTTCCCACTTGTCACGCACTGCCAGGATGCACTTAAACTTTCCACTCCTTCAATAGTTTGATTTGAACTTGGTTTTTAAAAAGATTGATAATTTACGGAAGAGACGCGCAGCTGCTTATGGCAAGGGGTATGGTTATAGAATAAAATATTCTGTTTGAATCTGATATTTTTAGGAAATGCGGAAGTTTTACATTGTGTTTCAAACAAAGATCTGAGATGTTCTCGTATTTTGGTTATTTCTGAATTTAATGTCCAATTTAGTAATGGCTTTTCTAATTCAACCAAAAACAATTCGAAATAAAACACAAAAGTTAAGGCGCTCGAATAACAATATTTGTTCAAGTACTGAAAACACAGCCACGTCCGCGCTAAAATGTGCCTCGATTGTGCTGGCGTTCGCCCAACGCGCAACTGATTTGCCGCACAGCGATGGAAAGCAGGGAAAAGCAGTGAAAGCAATGAAAAGCTCCTCCAGCCGAACTTCGTTTTCCTTGGCCCGAAGTGAAAGTGAAAACGAAAACGAAAACGAAAGCAGAAGCGGAAGCTTTTCCGAGGCGAAAGGAACTCCAGCCAGCTAGCTCACTCCCGAGTTACACTTCCATGGGGCCAGTCACGTGTTGGACATTTCACATTGGCCGTGTCCTAATCAAATCCGGGCTAAGCTGAAGCCAAAGCTCAGGGAGCCAAGCACAACTACTGCCGAGGAGGAGCAGCTGTTGCTCCACTCCGCCGGCAGATTACTCCCATCTCAAGGGCGAAAGCTGTCGCCCTAAGGAGTGGATGCCCGGACCTTCCGCTATGCGATTCGTAATGCGCTTATTATATTACCACATATTTCGGTTAGGGGCAACAAATGCCTGACAAATTAAATATAAATATCCCCCCCATTGACTCGATTAATTGGTAATTTCGTGGGTCCTTCGACTGAAGGAGCAGTTCCAGTTGGATCGCAACTTCTGACGCACGTACCATTGCGTGCCCGACACTATCTCCTCTGTTTCCCCATTAAAATGGTAATGGGCCTGTAATATATAAAACTTGTTAACCGGGAAAAAGTTAACAGGCCGCAATGCTAGGATGACACCTGATCGGATTGTTAAGTGCGGTTTTTTGAGGAACAATATTGTTAGTATTAGGTTCAACAGTGGGTAAATCATTGTTTAAGGATAAGAAAATGCTAAGACATTGTGAACTGGTTTTATCACAAGTAAAATAAACAAAAAAACGTTTTAGATGGAAGTCTAAGTGTTTACAATTTTATATAAAATATTTCTACTTCGTATAGCAAGCAGCCCTATGTACATATACCTATTATTAAGCACTGCTTGATAAGCAGTTAACGTTATTGTATATTCCTTAAGTTAAGTCATACTTTATGTCCCCCTTACTCCTTTAAGAAACACCATGTAAACCCATCCCTAAGTATGTACGTCTCTCTCTTGCACATACGAGACTGTGAAATAGGCTAAGCATTAACAGAGATGATGAAATAAAGATCACTTTTGCTGCGACCACTGAAGAGAAAAGACCCTGATTGTATCACTACATTCGGATGATTGGATATCTTTTGTCTCCCGATCTGCTAAATGGTTTACACCTCGTAGAACAACAGATGAAAGATTATTTGTGGCAGTAGCTCCATTGCATCGCTATTGTTCCAATTATGACCGATAGTTATTGTCATGCACTTGTGAGCTTTCGAGTTGTTTGCTTGTTTACAAATCCAATTCGACAGCCCCTCCTCTCCCCCCTCCCCCTGCCACCGTTGCCGCCCCCCACGACAATCATTGTTTGAGCGAGGGCGCTAATAAATTTTACATCAACAATGGAGTGACGGGAAGGGGGCATTTTCCGAGGGGAGAGGGAGCAGTGCACGCGTGTATCTTCGTTTTAACAGAGCCCTGTGATTGGCACGCGCAGCAAACAAATTAGCCAAAAAGTTCTGGCTGCTGTTACGACGATTCCGCATACGCCGTGTGGCACGGCGAACAAAACAACGGGAATAAGAAAAGTTTTCGCCTTTCCCATGTAAACATTTTATGGAAGATGTACTAAAAAATTAAATGAGTTTTCAAGTTTGGGACAGACTGGAGTTTATCTTGTCATGGTGAGGGATTCAAAAATGTATCATTACATTAAGTTACTACAATTTGAGGTGTTTTTGATCTTGCTTAATTTGATGGTTACATTTTTGCACAAATATTTCAGTTTTCTGTTAAGAGACCAAATAATTGTTTAAAAGCTATTAAAATAAATTAGCTTTTATTTCCTATACATTTTACAAATTACACTTTTGGGAAGTAAGAAGCGGTTGCTTTATAATCAAATTTCAAATTTAGTTTAATAACCCAATTTAGCTAATACTTTGCCAATTCCTCAGAGGAAAAGGGGGTGATTTTTGTTTTATGTCTGTTCTTTATCGATAAGTAAGTGTTCAACATTAACTGTGTTAATAATTACAATTAAAACTTTTTGAAAGATTAGTGGTTTGCATTGTATGAAGTTGCCAAAACCTTTGTCTAGTTGTCTATGTCCCACCTTGCGTATACTTAATAGCGCATTGCAGAAAAAACTTGAAGATATTGGATTACATTTCATTTCATTTTTAAATGACTTAATAAAAACCTGTTAATTCACCTGAACTTTGAGCATGACGATTTTAATCTCTACTCGATCGTTCGAGGGGCTCCTGCGATCCTCCTCCGATTTCGACTTGGGTTCCGCCATCGAACTCGGGAGATTTGCAGCCGATCGCATTAATCCAACGTCGGGATGGATGAAACTCATTTTAACATTTCGCTTGCAACGGATAATGAATTAGGAACTATTCAGTCTGCGCTCCCATGCTGCTCGTCGATTTAGTTGTGCAATTGAAATTTATATAATCACGACACCCCCGAACACGCACAGTCCGTCAATAAATCAAATCGACGCCTTTTTGGCGGGCAAACAATTGGGAACTGGGGAAGTATCCCAAGAGCTGATTGTTTACGGAATTCTGGATACCCAGAAGGTCGCGCCAGACCACCAGATGGAGTGGAGCACCCGCAGGCTTGCAGTATGTGTAGGTGGCAAGGGCCGAGTTGGAACTACAGAAGAATTCGCGGCGAAGAATTCTGGTGGGTTGACTCGGCTTCCGCTCAAACAGGAAGAAGAGGAGCGCCGCGAGGGTATCTATTAATAGTCGGTGTACTAGTCGGTGTTCGTGTCCGATTCTCTGGCCACTGCACTTGTCCCCAACCCGCGAGATACATTTCCTGGCTCTCAGGCCCCTCAGCAAAGTCAAGTTCAAGTTTACCGGGGCGCCGAGAGGAGGAATCGGAATGAGTTCACTAGACTCATTGATGTACTATATATATATATGCCAACGAGAATCAATGTACAATTGTACACTTGCCAAAAGGCGGAGCATAAGCTGCCAAAAAGACCATTCTGCTCGTCGGCCAGCAGCTCACTTTGTTTTCGCATTCGGCTCTTGGTCTATTTGCTTAAGTGTTTCATTATTTCTGTTTGGCATGCTCCCTACGCTGCTTTCATTTCATTTCATTTCAATTTATTCGAAATATCATATTATTTGCTTGATCGCTGCCTTGTTTAATTTTGCTTTTAACGCGCGGCTCAGGTGGCCGAAGGAGAAGTCGGATTGGCCGAGGTTATCAAGATGTAAGGCGATCTGATATGGGTACATATAGGGGCAAATAATAATTACTGAAGTCAAAGTGTGCTTTGTTTACTCACGTGACGGAAAGTAAACAAGCTAAATTTTATTTTAAATTCATAAGCCAGACACCAGACATCAGAAAGTCGCATAGTAAACATGGCTCTTGTCGTACTATACTATACTGTCCACAGCAATTTCCCACGAGGTCTGTTGCAACTAATTGCATTTATCCCATTTGCATAGAAAAGAACATTTATGAGCACCACATTTTACACTTTTGCGCTTCACATGCTTGTATGATTTTCATCAAGAATTGTTGCTCAACTCCGCTGAAAAGTAATTCATTGTGTACTAATCAATTAGCCACTAATTAAATTGGAATACATTTCAAAGAGAGTGCAAAATTGTTGCACTTCAATGGAACAGCTGACTCACTGTTTGGATTAAAAAAATATTAAAGTTCTAGTGACGTTGTGGGTAATGCCATTCACAATCGTTTGCTGGTTATATAACATTATTGAAAATCTTGAAGCTTTAAGAGTTGGCATCATTTTGACGGCACTGTTCGTGCAGTCTATAAATACTTGCCACACGGTGATTTACCTTTCAAGAGCTAATACTGTGGATTTGGGTAATCCATTTGTATAATTTCCTGGTAAGATCTTCCCATTGTTCTGACTAACTTATTGCACTAATCAGATTTTCCCAGCAGTAGTCCAGTGACCCCATGAATTGAAACACGTTTGTGCATTAACTAAACGAGAGAATCTCACTTCGAGTTGCATTATGCATAATTCAGATCTTCCAGATCGGGCGACGTCGCCGATGATCGAAAGCCCCAACTGGGCTTTGAAATTTCCCAGCGCCATTTCACAATTATAATTACTCGTGCCTACTATATATTTAAGCAGTCTTAAATCAAAAGTTTATGAGTCCAGTAGCATATATAAAATCGATTTCTAAGGGCTTCTAGGAAGGGTTTACGACCATCCGGTTTATTGCCCCCCGTTCAATTAAGGAACAGATTAAGCTAACTGCTAGACAGTAGTTAAATTTGATAACAAATTTTCATCATTAATTCAATATTTAAAAAGGTGTAAAACTTGAAAACCCTAAATGCTTGTTGGAGGATTTACAAAAAATTATCTTAAATGAAAAACACTTACTTAGTTTTGTAAAATGTTTCACATTGAATCTCATCTTTATATTTATATGTATTATGGTAAAATAACTTAATTCTATCTCTAAAAGAAAGGAATTTGCTCCAATTACTTGACTTTTATAGTTCAATTTAATTATTTAGCAGAGCTTAAAAATTTCTATAAAAATTCCTCCGCTAACACAAGAAATTGTCTCTATTTAGCAGGACAATAAACTGTTTAATAGGTCTGAAAACGCCTAATTTACAACCTTCATCAGCACGCTTGGATTTTTCTTTATTTTGTATTTGCGTATTAATTATACCTATAGACTGGTAAAAAAGTTGAGGTTGTCCTTATCCCTGGACTGGTCTTACCTACTTCAGATCACTTTTCATTCAGAGTTGGCTTGCTATTCTGGGAATCATAGTTCCAAAAGGACACTGATCACTGGCGGCACTGGACACTCGGGATTCGTTTTCGGGCAAGTACCGATCGCAGTGGGCATTAAACGGATACTGAACTCATGTCGGATCCGGCGCTCTCTTCACACTTCACTTAAAGTGCCAAAAACTCTAGTAGTTTCGGCACACACTCGCACTGTCGCCAACTGGCGGGCACATATGGCTTGTGTTATATATTAAGCAAATATGTATGCTAATAAACAGTGTATCAAAAGAACTGCGGGCTACTGGGAGCTCTGAGCTGTGAGCTGCGAACTGCGAACTGCGAATTGGGTGAACCTGCGAATGAGCCCGAGCTGTTTGCCCAACCAATTTGGCGCTTGTTGCAAAATGTAAGCCGTTTCTGAAACTGAGGGCGCGCGCCACTTGCTCCGGATCGGGGCACTCGGCTGGGATCGGCTGGGATCGGATCAGATCGGATCGGATCGTGGCTGCGATCGACGTCACACGAAGCTGGAGTGTAGAAGAATAACGAGCATGGAAATTTTCATATCGGCACGCTGCGCATGGTCAATTGATTTGCAACTTTTTCTGCTTGTTTACTTTGGCTAATTCGATTGATCGGCTGTTCTCATCCCCCAACTCAAGTCCTAACTTTTTGGCTAACTGGTTCGGTTTTGGTCTCGGTTTTGGCAGTCGGCAGTTGGCTTTCCTCACCATCATGTGATGTATTGATTAAACAACAATTACTAATTGACAGTAATTAATAATTGCGAGCAAAACAAGAGGCAAAAAACGTGACACGTTTGCTTTGCTCAATTTGCTGTAGGAGTTGTCAATACTTGATGACGAAGGCAGCAAATTAGGATGTTTAAGTTAAAATATCCTTCCCTCATACAAGAAAGAATGCATTGTTTAATTTTACAATATTCTAAACTAAAGCGATATATTAATATCCCTTATTAACTTGAGTCTTAATGTCAACACAGACATCAAAAAGCAATTTTAAATGCCTTACTCTTTTAATTTTTCATCGATCTTGTCCTAAAGGAACAAATATGGTTGTGGGAAGGATGGTAAACACCCAATTATATAGGATGATTTATCTCATTCTGAAACGAAAATCTATGCTCAGCGATGACAAACTTCCGAACAACAGGGCTGATTTCTTAATTTATTTTCTTTCTATGCTACGCGATCAATCAACAAGCAAACGTTAATTTCTTGTGACGATTATTTTGCCGAGTCTTCTTTGCGTTAATAGCAGATGTAAATAAATGTACAAAAATCGCACGGATATTTCTCTGCTCCCCTTTCTGTGAAGCGCCTAACCTTGTTATTGAACTCCCAGCGAGGAGGGAATTTTCGCAGCTTTCAACTAAGTGATACCCATTAAACAAACGCCCCAACAAAACAGGTGACAATCATATTTTTTCCACACAAAAAAAGAGATAATATTTACGCTAATTCAATTTATTGTGATCTGTTATTATTTGCATTGGGAATCTGCTGGTCTGGCGTTGTTTACAATTCGGGTCTTTAATGTGTAGTGCCAACAGGAAAAGCTCTAGGATTCGGGAACCTCGATAGGTTCGTCGGTAATGGGTTCTCCTTCGAATCCCGGATGCGGCGGTGGAAGCTCACCATACATGTCCTTTATATGCTCGTTTTGAAAAATCTTGTCAAAGTATTTGTTAGCGCTGACGTAGTTTGGGTTTCGAATGAAACTCTTTTGGCGTCCTCGTAATTTGACGCTCCTACGGCTTTCTTTCACGGAGCTAGTTGACTCCCCAGGAGGCGGGGAATCGGGATCAAAGTTCGGTTCATCAGGTACTTCAACTGTAACAGTTACGGGTAGTTCTTCCTCGGACTCTTCTGATCCGAAAGCAAATTCAGATGCACTGAGCGCCAACAAAATGAAAAATCTCCACAACAAACCAGACATTTTTGTTAAGAACTAATAAGCCCATAAAATACAACTACTTATATGTATGTATGTTTGTTAAATATTAAATGCAGCGGAAAATCCATGAATGCACCGTGAAAAACTAAATCTTGAATATGTTTAATATTTATTTATTTACACGGTACAGGAATAAGGTTTTTTGTTTTTCAATCAAGAATATATTATGTTTTATACTTTAAATTTTAGAATTTTAAATGGACTAAAATTACATATTGAAATATAAACTGCTTTTATTTTTCACCTTCATGGTTTTTTACTGCTCCCCTTTCGTGGCTGTTCCTTCTCTGAAATTATCATCTACATCTGAGTGTAACTCGGCTAGTAGATAACTAACAATTTATAACTTCTTGAATTTTGGACCGGGAGCCACAATGTAAAATGTGCAGAGATTTTGTATGTATTCCAAAATGTTTTTCATCTTTGGTAGTCCTTCAAGAACTAGATATTTGCCTTGTATTAGTCAGTCTACGAACTAGACTCTAGTTATTAAGAATAAAATCGAACTGTTTAGACCATTGCAAATTTAAAACGCGCTTTGTCACAGTAATTTTATCGTTAACACACATGCCTTTCTGGTTTAGTTTTCTCTCTTTTCCCTTTTTTAAAGTTCTCTAAAAATATTTGCTCCGGATATTTTGAATATTTATTTATTTAACAACTGGAAAAGTCCGTATTTTAAAAGTTCGTCAAAAGAAAACCATTGATTTGACCAAGATTTCTAAATGCTGAATAATGATTTTTGATGTACAACAGTTATTTTTTTAGTCTTTTTTTTTTTTTTTTTTGTAAATAACAAATTAATTAAATATTATAATGTGGATAAAATGGAAAAAAATTATTTCTATATCGCAATTATAATACTTACATACATTTGAAATTCACATTTGACATTTAAGACTTACCTTACCAATAAAACATTTTGTGTGTTTTTGTTGAAGTAAAGTACTATGCAAAATTCCCAGAACAGTGTTAAATAATGTAATAATGTAAAATAACAATATCATTATTTGTTTTATTTAACATATTTTTTGTTTGAGATATTCCCATTATTGAAAACGTAAAAGTCGTTTTATACATGCACCACGTAATAATGTATTTTACACGCATTGTATTTTAAGGGTAACATTTTACAGCGTTTTTCGCGCTGCAATGGAATTTTTACCGGTAAGGCGCGGTCACACTGGCAGCAACAAATGTGAAGATTGTTAGATTTAGCCAGTAAAGGAAATAAGCGAAGTAAAGAAAGGGCAACTAAAGAAAGGAACTCAGTAGAAAGCCACGATGCCGCCTACGATCAACAACTCGGCGGTAAACAACGCCGCCGATAAGCGACCCCAGCGGCAAACGGAGCGCAAGTAAGTGAAACACACAGAGTAAAACCGACGCCAGTCTTACGGACACTTTCCAGATCGGAAATAATTTGCCGCGTAAAATATGGGAACAACCTGCCGGACATCCCCTTCGATTTGAAGTTCCTGCAGTACCCCTTCGACAGCCACCGCTTTGTACAGTACAACCCCACGTCGCTGGAGCGGAACTTCAAGTACGATGTGCTGACGGAGCACGATTTGGGAGTTACAGTGGACCTGATCAACCGGGAGCTCTACCAAGCGGACTCCATGACACTGTTGGACCCCGCCGATGAGAAACTGCTAGAGGAGGAGACCCTAACGCCCACTGACTCGGTCCGCTCCCGACAGCACTCGAGGACCGTGTCCTGGCTGCGCAAGTCCGAGTACATCTCCACGGAGCAGACGCGCTTCCAGCCGCAGAACCTCGAGAACATCGAGGCCAAGGTGGGCTACAACGTGAAGAAGTCCCTCAGGGAGGAGACGCTCTATCTGGACCGCGAAGCGCAGATCAAGGCCATCGAGAAGACCTTCAGCGACACCAAGAGCGAGATCACCAAGCACTACTCCAAGCCCAACGTGGTGCCCGTGGAGGTGCTGCCCATCTTCCCCGACTTCACCAACTGGAAGTACCCCTGCGCCCAAGTCATCTTCGACAGCGATCCGGCCCCCGTGGGCAAGAACGTGCCGGCCCAGCTGGAGGAGATGTCGCAGGCCATGATCCGTGGTGTGATGGACGAGAGCGGGGAGCAGTTCGTGGCCTACTTCCTGCCCACGGAGCAGACGCTGGAGAAGCGCCGCAACGACTTTGTCGCTGGAGAACTCTACACGGAAGAGGAGGAGTACGAGTATAAGATTGCTCGCGAGTACAACTGGAACGTGAAGACCAAGGCCTCCAAGGGCTACGAGGAGAACTACTTCTTCGTAATGCGTCCGGACGGCATCTACTACAACGAGCTGGAAACGCGTGTGCGCCTCAACAAGCGTCGCGTGAAGGTTGGCCAGCAGCCCAACAACACCAAGCTTGTAAGTTAATGATCTCGTAAAGCAAAAATCGGAAAAGTTCTGGTTATCTGTCTTTCCATTCCTCATTCTTTCTGTTCTTTCTTCAGGTCGTCAAGCATCGCCCGTTGGACAGCATGGAACACCGCATGCAACGGTATCGCGAGCGCCAGTTGGAGGTTCCTGGCGAAGAAGAGGAGGAGGAGGTCGAGGAGGAGTTGGCAGTGGATGAAGAGCAGACCCAGGGCGCTGGCGATGCGGAAAAGGCTGGAGAGGATGCTTCGGGCGGGGCTCAGGCAGCAGATGGCGGCGACTCGCCTGCCCAAGTAGCTCGCGATCGACAGTCCCGCTCACGGACACGCAGCCGCAGCGGATCCAGTTCCGGATCGGGCTCTGGCTCCGGATCACGGGCCAGCAGCCGCTCAAAGTCTGGCTCCCGGTCGGGCAGCGGATCGCGATCTCGCTCCAACTCCCCGGCAGGATCCCAGAAGTCGGGATCAAGATCGAGATCGGGCTCTCGTTCCCGGTCCCGTTCGAAGTCCGGCTCACGCTCCCGTTCTCGGTCCAAGTCCGGATCCCGATCCCGGTCGGGGTCCAGGTCTGGCTCTGGATCTCGGTCGCCCAGCCGCTCCCGCAGCGGTTCGCCAAGTGGTTCCGGATCCAGTTCAGGAAGCGGATCAGACGAGTGAAAAGTGTCAAAAGATCACCTTTTATAATAAATAAGATTGTAATTAATTGTAATGATTGTATACATTTCTTAAACCGTGGTACACACCTGGCAAGTGCGTTTGGTCTTATTTCTTACTCACAAACATATAAACAATTTATAGTCATTCTAGTATGAGACAAAGTTCAAAAACTTACATTTTTTGAATTGAACATTTGAATTTGAAGCAACGTCTTGTCCACTCTGGTTTGGATTTGGGCGTATAATTAGCGCCTTAATTAAAGTATTTGAACAACTGGTTATTTTAAATACAATTTTAATTTTTCGAGAAGTGATTCTTCATTTAAGTCATAAAATGTTATTATTTTTTTTAATTTGATTTGTGTATATAAAATATTGTATTTTTTTTAAACTTTTTTTTAACATCTGTTTGCAAATATAATTTTGCTGTCAGGCTCTAATAATATTAGGTAAATTTTTAAAATTTGTTTGGAGAGAAGAAAGCTATCTTGAACTACTCTTTTCCTGAACACTACGAATCCCTAGAGTCATTTGCTATATCCGATTCAGGGCCGAATGACAACGAGTTTAAATAGATGGGCACAAGTTTCGTTCCCAGCTACGTAGCGTCCATTAGAAATCGTTGGAAGACCTCGCCGTCCGAACTGGGCAGCTCCGACTGCTGCGGCGAGTAGAGTCTCAGGTTCTGGAGCTGCTGCAGCGGGGAGCCGGTCCCGTTGAATTGCACCACCACAGCCGGCTGCAGGGGGACGAGGTGGGCCTGCTCCTCCCGCGGGTCCACGCCACATATGCCCAGCTTTTGGCACTGCTCCACCACGATGTCGTCGATGCTCTGCGAGAGCAGGGCCTCCTGCTCCGGGTCCGCCATCGATCCGCTGTTGATGGCAGCAATCTCTGCGCTCGCCGGCGAGGGCTGCGTGGGCGAGTCGTTGCCCTCCAGGTAGGCGTTGATCAGCTGCTCCGGCGTCTGGGCCTCCTCGGTGGGACAGCGGTGGGTGCGCTGGCTGACCTTGTACCGGAACGTCTTCTGGCAGAGATCGCACTTGTAGGGCATCACGCCCGTGTGGATGCGCGTGTGGACCAGGAAGGAGACGCGCTGCCGGAAGCACTTTCCTGTCGGAGGGTTTGGATTGGATTACTTGCCAATATAAATGTTTCGATTGGTAGAGAAAATTGCGAAATGGATGTCCGACTAGATTTGATAGATTGGCAAAAGAGTATGGTTGATACCCACCGCACACCTCGCACTTGAAGGGCTTCTCCCCGCTGTGGATCCTCTGGTGGTTGTGCAGCGTGGACAGCTCCTTGAAGGCCCTCCCGCAAACGTTGCACACGTGCGGCTTCACCTCGCTGTGGTAGAGCAAATGCTTGTGGTACGACTGCTGGAAGGTGAAGGTCCTGGCGCAGATCTCGCAGGTGTACGGCATCTCGCCGGTGTGCAGCCGCTTGTGCTTCTTCAGGAAGTACTTGGTGGTGAAGGACTTGGTGCACACGTCGCACTCCCACAGCTTCGGCGTGGCACTGCCCGAGTCCGGGGAGTTGGGAGCCTGCTGCAGCATGCTGAGTGCCCCACTCAGGGCGTAGGGCTGGGTGGACGAGGAGCTGATGGAGCTGGCACTGGCGATGGCCCCGGCCTCCTTGTGCCGGATGCGGTCGCAGATGCTCAGCTTGGGCGAGGGGCCGATGGTGATGGTGGAGGTCACCGGGATGGGGTTGGAGCAGGGCACTCCCATCATGTGCACCACCTTCAGGTGGATCCGCAGGGAGCCCTTCATGCGGAACGTCTTGGAGCAGAGGTGGCACTTGTAGGGCTCCTGATCCTGCAAAAAGAGAAACAGGGGAAATTAAAATTGGTTACCTCGAGCTCAGTTTTTAATGGTTTTCCAGAAACATACTGTAACAAGCAGCCCTATGTACATATACCTATAATTAATCACTGCTTGATAAGCAGTTAACGTTATTGTATATTCCTTAAGTTAAGTCATCCTTTGTGTCCCCCTTACTCCTTTAAGAAACACCATGTAAACCCATCTCTAAGTATGTACGTCTCACTCTTGCACATACGAGATTTTGAAATAGGCTAAGCATTAACAGACATGATGAAATAAGGATCACGTTTTGCTGCGACCACGGAAGAGAAAACACCCTGATTGTATCACTACAATATTTTAACCTAATATGTCGTCAAGATGATTAATACAATTTTAATTTGGTTGTGATTGTGACTTCAGTGGCTCTCATTAAAAACAACCGTGTTGTAAATATGTGACACTGATCCGATTTTCTTATGTGTTTTTTGGCATTGGTTAAATTATGATTTGATAAACAAAAATAAAAAGAAAATAAGGTTTATAATATATTCAGGTACCTATATCATGAAAATAATAATATTATATTATTTTAAGGTAGTGGGAGCAGTGCTCTGGGAGCAGGAACCATGATGAGAGCAATTTTATTTGCATTGCTCTCCTTTGATACAAACTATAATCTTCAATACTGATTCGGCTCTCTTTCACAGGTTGTTTATAGTATTTCAAAATGTATCATTCTTTTCGGAAACGACTCTCCTCATAGATATATCAAATAAAAAACTTAATTTAGATATTATTTTTCCCGATCCCTTCGGACCATTTTAAGCAACTGGCTTGGTTACCTGCTCCTCCTGCTCCAGCTGCTGGGCTTGCCTCTCGGCCTCCGCGTTTTCGTGCACCAACCGGATGTGCATGTCCCGCAGCTCGCTGTTCCGGAAACTGAACTCGCAGATGTCGCAGTTGGCGGGAGGGGTGGGTGGGGCAGGGGGCTGGGGCGGGGGCAGGCCGACGGGCTTGGACTTGGTCCGCTTGGCCCGCCTCTTGGGGGCGGAAACGGCGACCAGAGGGGGCACCGGCTGGACGGGCTGGACCGGCTGGCTGACCTGGCTCTGGCCCATCAGAGTGGTGTGCGAGAAGAGGTGGATGGTGAGCTTGTCCAGGCCGAGGAAGAGCTCCTTGCAGTTGGCGAAGGGGCAGGCCAGCGGGCCGTTGGCCGCCTTGATCAGCCGCTGCTGCAGTGCGTCAATGCTGCCGAAGCTGGGCACCGCGCACAGCGGACACAGCACAGAGGTGGAGCACATTCCGCGGGCGCACTCGATCGCGTCTTATGCAAATTTTTCACCTTTCAATTGGACACGGCTCCTGCTTGGTCGGGGCATATATATTCAGGAGTCCATTCCCAGACAGCTCGCACAGCTCGCAATCTTTCCGCTTTCAGAACGTTCTAAAAATACCAGCAAGTGAAAATTTTCAAAACTTTCGGGCCCACCAATCCGAGTTCTCAGCCAAACGATGCCAGCCAAACGAAATAATGAAAAATAATGAAATGCCCGGCGCTGATCGCTGATCTCGGGCGGAATCGACGAAAGACTTTCGAAAACACTCGTAGCATCGAAAACTCATCTCTCGAGAAGTGCTCTCCCATCTGCTCCCTGTCTCTGGGTGCCTCATTTCGAAATATAGCTCTGAGCACGGTGTATATAAATATTTTTGGCCGATATGTGGCGCAGTGACGGCCTATAGCCTCCGTTCTAGTCTTTGTAACGCACAGAACGGCATTTGCATGGGATATATGCGATTTGTCAGACTTACTTAAAGGCGACCGGCGATCTATCAAAATGACCAGATGGATCTAAAATTGGCCATTAAGCTGAATGGCGAATCCGTTTGGAATATCTCTTATTGCCTAATATCTTAAAAAACCTTTATAATGATTTAAGACCATCACCATCACCATCTCTTGGCCGGTTTTCCAAAATATAATTTGAGGATTAACTACACTACGCTAGATAGTTTTTAATAAATATTTATGTGAGGAAAAGATGTAGCTTGGTCCAAAATTTAAGATTTATTCATTTTAGAAAGAGATACAAAATTATGTTTTTTTAATTGAGTGGTTATGGATATTTGTAATTAAGGAATTAAACTACCTTTGCACCAAAGTCATTTAATAACATGTGTTATCTTGTGTTGGGAAATTATTTTCGACTTTACATTTTTAGTTTTTGAATTATAACTAGTATTGCAATTAGCAATTTAAAGATTACCAAATACGAAAGGCGTAAATTTTATTCTTTTTAAACTATTCAAGAAATGTTTTCTTTTTTAGAGTACCGAAGCAGCAAAAAATGAAATTAAATGTTTATTATTTGCTCTAAATAATTAAAAGGTTACTTCACCTGGAACTCATATTAAAAATATTTAATTAGGGGGCCATGGAAATCTTTTTCTATTTAACTTTTTCTACAATTGAAATACAAAGGTTAAGTTCGGAGAATATTTACTTTGAAATATCAAAAAACACGAAGATTTTCTATGGCACCCCGGACCATGGTATAATTATACAGGGTAGTCTAGTCGGCAAAAAGCACTCCCTTATTCATTACTCACAACAAGTGCGAGTGAGAGGAGTCTGCGTAGTAAGTGCGAGTGAAACGACAAGAGTTTTTTGCTTAACCCTTAGATGGCGCATGGCGCTTAAATTGCTCATTTATAGTATAATTGTACCATGCCCCGGACAGCGAAATGTACTAATAAATAGAGTATCCGCTAGTCGATTCCGTGTACACCCGATCCACAAAACACACACTGGTGCACCCGCGGCGTACCCCCATCGAATCCGTTTTGGGCTATTTTCGTTGCCGCCGCTGCTCTCTTGTTTTGACCCGCTTTGGCAACGCATTTTATTCGCTGTTCCGTTTAGACGGTCAATTTGTAAACAGTGCGATGGCCAAGCACGTGAAGCCCGACCGATCGTTAAAAAACTAAACACCAAACATTAAAAGCACTTAAAAAAAAAGGGAAACTAGTGGGGAAATCACTTCTTCTTGGGCTCGGGCAGCTCGAGCGATATGATGCTCAGGCCGGAGTGCGAGGTGGTGGTGGAGCTGTCGTCCTTGAGGGAGCTCATGTCGGAGGTCGAAGACCTGACACTGGCGCCGCCCTTGCTGCCCGCCAAGGAGCAGGCGTCCAGCGAGGACTTGGCCGAGGAGCTGCTGTTGAAGGAGACGCAGCTGCGCGTGCGCTTCAGGTGCATCGGCAGCTGGACGCCCTTGCGCAGGATGAAGTTCATGATCTCCGTGCCGTGCTCGTCGCTGCTGGCCAGGTCGGCGAGCATGTTCAGCGCCTTGGTGTTGCGCGCCTCCAGCTCCTGGAGGTTGAGGTCCCGCTCGAACTGCGCCAGGAACTCCTCGCTGAAGGGCCGCGCTTTGATCTCCCGCAACTGCGTCCGGATCTCCCGGTTCGCCCTGTCCAGCTTCAGCCGCTGGTCGTCCATCTCGCGCTCGATCTTCTCCAGCACGGCCGCGTGCTCCGCGCGCTGCGCCTTCGCCTGCTCCAGCTTGGCGATCAGCTGCTGCTCCTCGTCGCGCTGTGCCGCGTGCTTCTGGTCGTAGTGCTGCACCTTGCAGCGCAGCCGCTTCAGGTTCTCCAGCTCCTTGCAGTAGGCCGCCTCCAGCTCCTTCAGCTCCAACTCGGCGCGCTCACGATCTGCAGGAGGAAAAGGATAATCCGAATTGGTTAGGGAAGTAGACTCCAATAGCTAGATGAAATCTCAAAAATAGCTGCGATCACTCAAAGCGGGTAAATAATTAAATCAAAATAAATCAAATGGCTCAGAAAACTCGACTAAGTTACTAAATTATTTACTGCTCACACAGAAAATTATTCAGAACCCCCAGACATCAGCTCATCTAACACCTTTCTGAGCGTTTTGTTTATTGTGTCACTCAAATCATTGTGCAAAAATTACCAAAAAAACATTTTCAAAATTCAAATAAATATTTTGTACAATTCACAAATTTCTCAATACAGGAAACAACCCCCCACTCAGTATTTCAACCTTTGTTTCCACATACTTAGTTATTCGTTTCCCAACGAAATAATTTTTGTAGGAAATGTTGCAGTGTATCTACCCTAAATAGTATAGTAGGGCTATAGACAATAAGTACTACGAATGTAGCTTAAATGGCATCTAAACTTAACTATGAACTTGTCAGCAGCAATGTTGTAACGACCTTACGGCCTTGTAATTGCAAAATATCATTGATGCAAACTGATACAAAATATTATATAACCATTGAACAGAAAGAAACCCTTTGATTGTAAAAGTTGGAAAAAATTACAGAAAATACTTGACTTATTGCCACAAGAGTTGTTGCTGCTATTAAGGCATATTTTAAAGAAAGCGGGTCAGGACATTGTCATTTCATGTACCGCATCCTTATCTTTCTTTTGTAGCAAGCATTATTAATGCACTGCTTGATAAGCAGTTAACGTTATTGTATATTCCTTAAGTTAAGTCATCCTTTGTGTCCCCCTTACTCCTTTAAGAAACACCATGTAAGCCCATCTCTAAGTAAGTACGTCTGTCTCTTGCACATACGAGATTGTGAAATAGGCTAAGCATTAACAGAGATGATGAAATAAAGATCCCTTTTGCTGCGACCACGAATGAGAAAACACTCTGATTGTATCACTACACTTTATAAATGCATTTAAGGGACGCGCCAAGGGACTAGTTCTTCAGGCGACAGTCAACACTTACTAGCCTAACTAACCTTTTTAAGTGCTGTTAAATATTTATAACAAGGCAATGGATGGACGCACTCACCCTTCGAGTTCTCGTCGACGGATCGGAAGGTCTTGCGGTAGTTGTCGTTGGACTTGTCGAACTGGCGCAGCGTGTTCTCCAGGGCGACCACCTCCTTCTCGGCCTTGAGCACCTTCTTGTTGAGGGCGTCGCCCTCGTCGGCGAGCATCTGGCGCTCCTGGGCGCTCTCCACCTTCAGCTGGGTGCTGGTCATGATGGAGCCGTCCTCGTTCTTCCCGAGCAGCTGGGAGGTGAGCTCGAAGCGCGCCTTGGTCGCCTCGATCTGCTTCTTGCGCTCGCCGAGATCGGCGCGCAGGGTGCTCAGCTCCTCGCAGAGGTGCTTTCTTTTCAGCTGGAGCACCTCCTCCTGGCTGCGCAGCTCGACTGTGCGGTCCTTGATGGCCCGCCGGAAGGCCAGGCGGTGCTGCTCCAGGTCATAGGTGCCCTGCTCGCAGCCCCCGATGCCCACCTCCAGGTCGCTGCAGCGCATCTTCACCATGTTGAGGTCCACGATCAGCTCGGAGTTCTCGAAGCGGATCTGGCGCAGCCGCTTCACGGTGCCCTCGCAGTAGACCTGCGCCTCCTTGATCTTGAACCGCACCGTCTCGAGCTCCTTCTCGTCGGCGTTGTACTGCACCACCAGGTTGTTCATGTTGTAGTTGAGCTTCTTGTTCTGCGCCTCCGTCGTCGCGATCAGCCGCTGCAGCTTGTCGTGCTCCTGCTCCAGCTCGTTCAGCCGGGCCATGTTGCTGGCCTCCACCTCGGGGTCGTCCGCCACGCCCTTGAGCTCGGCGTAGCGCCGCTCCGCCTCCAAATACTTGAACGACAGGCTGTAGTGGATCTCCGTCTGGCGCTTCAGCTCGTGCATCACCTGTTTGGGTACGAAGTAAATTGCATTATAGTGCATTTAAATAGCAATTTGGCCAAATAGCAATTTGGCCGGATACCGGATACCGGATATTTGGCCGACCTTTTGGCCAGATAGCCGGATATCCGGGCGCTGAATATTTTGCAAAACTTAGCCGTTTGGGTAGACGTTCGATTTGGGTCTTTTTGTTGATGAATGAAGAGAAGTTAACAGTTGTACCCATGGTACAATTATACAAGGTCGTCTCGTCGGCTGCGTCACTCCCCTATCGACACTACAATGAGAGCGAGAGAAAGAGTGTTTTCCTACGAAAACACTACGCTCGGGTCGATAGGGGAGTGAACCCGAACAATTCTGCAGCCGACGAGACTACTACATAATATGCCCTTAGTGCAGTATGAGTACTAAATGTACTAATTCCTTTTCCTTGTATCACATTGACTTACTATTGTGTAATTTAATACTTAAGATTAACTAAATAAAGCAAATAATTAACAAAAATATGTTTATTTTATAAAGCTTTTTTTAAATCGGCCGGATAGATATCGTAGCTATCCGGTATTCGGCCGGATAGTATCATTGCGGCCGGATACCGGATAGTTACCGGATATCCGTTTCATCTCTACATTTAACTACTGTAACTGTGCATTCGGTGCCTTTTAAAGCTGCGTGCTTGGTTTCGAATTGGGGGATTTACTCTGCCCTCTACTCTCTATTACAATTATGTTAAACAAATTACTTAAAGCATAATGTGTAACATGCAATGGTCGTCAAGTCAGGTCATAGTTTAGCCTAATAAGACAGCATTAGACATTGTATTGCACTTCTCATACTGAATTAATTAAGCCGACAATACTCAAGTACTTAGTAAGACAAAAATAATTTAAAAATACTGAAAAGACCCTTGGAAACGCTATATTAAAGAATAGTAGGTACATATTCCCAACTATAATTGTTCGCAACTATAATTTTGTTGGATTTACTAAAATTAAAAAAAAAGTGTCTAGATTTACCTGCTGCTGGCTGCGTTTGATGGCCGCCAGGTTGGAGTTCAGCGAGTCGTTCTGCACGGTGAGCACCTTCTCCTCGTCCTGCAGCTCGACGACCTGCCGCTGGGTGCGGTAGAGCATGTCGTTGACCTTCTCCTGCTCCTTGTCGAGGTTGCGCAGGGCGGTCTCCTCCGCCTCGATCATCTCCTCGAGGATCTGGAGGCGCTGGTCCGCGTTGAGCGCCTTGTTCTGAATGGACTCCAGGCGGGCCTTCACCTTCTCCATCACCGAGCCGAAGTTCTCGATCTCCAGCAGCTTGGCGTCGCGCCTCTGCACCAGGCTGCGGTTCTCCGCGCGCTGCTGGGCAACCCGGTTCGAGAGGTTCTCCAGCTCGCGGCGCAGGCCGTCGATCTCGCGCTCCTTCAGCAGCGAGGAGTCGACCAGGATCTGGATCTGGTTCTTCGTGTCGGAGGTTTCCTCGTTCAGCGCCTCGATGGCGAGCTCCACCTGCCGGTTGTTGTCGATCACATCGGTCAGCTGGTCGTCGTACTGCTTGTAGGCCAGCGCCGTCTTCTGCGCCTTCTTGGCGAGCTCCGCGCACTCCAGCTCGCTGCGCTGGATGTCGTGCTCCCGCTGGGTCATCTGGTTGACGGCGCTCTTCCACGTCTCCACCATCTGGCGGCGCTCCGCGTGCGCCGCCCGGTAGAGGCAGGCGGTGCGCTCCAGGTTCTTCTCCAGCGTCATCTGCTCGTCGTAGAGCATCACCACCCGCTTGCGCCGCTTGTCGATGTCCGTCTGCAGCAGCTGCCGCTTGGTGTTCAGCTCCCGCGCCTTCTGCTGGTCGTCCAGGTAGTACTTCTCGATCAGCTGGTAGCCCTTGTTCCCGTCCTCCATCGCCTCCGTCCACTCCACCAAAGTGGTCTTGGCGGACTTGATGCGCGACGTCAGCTCGTCGATCTCCCGCTTGTTCTGGCATATCTTTCCTGTCGGCGAATATCAATGGGTAGAACATCATGGCAAAATGTGCTTAAACTATATCCTGATATTATACTAGTAGCCACACTTTATTAAAATAACTTTATACAAATTACTTAAACTTCTAATAAGACTTTATAAAAGTCATCGATGATTGTCTGATGAATAGTTTAAAAAGTCATTGATGATTTTTTGATGAAAAATTAAGAAATGCCTGCACTAATTTCACCAACAATTTTGACAGAAACTGAGTGATAATTGACAATCGTACACAAATAACTGATCAGTGGAAACAAATGCTTTTAAGTAATAAAAATAGGAAGAAGGTTCCACTTCCTCGCCATCTCTACTTACGTTCCGTGAGCTCAGCGTATTCAGTGTACTCCTCAAGCTCTTTTTGATTCTTCCTGAGATCCTCCTTGATCTTGTTGCGCTCCAAGATCACCAGCTGCACCTTGTGGGCCTCCTTGATGACATCATCCTTGAGGGAGCTGTACAGCGTCTAAGGGGCTTTCAAATAGAGGCTCATCAAGGACATCGCACCGAACTCTTACCAGGTTCTGCTGGAAAGTGCCCTCAATGTTGCGTGTGTGCCGCTCCACCGCCTTCTCGCGCTCGTCCAGCGAATTCATGTGCTGCTGGAGCTCCAGTTTTAAGGCCCTCAGGGTGGTCAGCTCCTTCAGGATGGCCAGGTTCTCGGCGTTCGCCATCGGAATGTCCGAGTCCACCGCCCAGCCCATGGAGGCCATCGCGTTCAACTTGTAGTCGTCCAGGGACGCCCTCTTCATGTCGTCGCTGCGATTCATCGTGCTTTGAGATCAGCCCTAAAGCTGGCTACAGTATGTCGAAACACTTCGCACTTTTTCAGGCAGTGTTTTCCGTCCGGGTGTGGGATTATAAATAAACTTCAGACTAGACTTCGTTTCAGTGACAACCGAGAAAGCAATCCATGCCCATGGCAACGTCTACTGGGCCCGAGTATCGAATAACAACTACTCGTTTGGTCGTCCTTTTAGTTTGACTTCTAAAGAAACCTAACTACCTAACCAATGCTATTTTTCGTATAACTGTATCAAATAGTAAATAATAAATAAAACAATAAATAAATAAACATGTTACGTATTCTCCAACCATGCCAAAAATCTGGTAGAGATTTTATACAGTTTACAGATTGAATACAGTTTTCAAGCTACTTTTAAATTATGAATAAAGTTTCATCAAAATCGCAAGGCTAATCATATACATATCTGTCAAAGGAACAATCGAAGAGATTATAAAAAATAAGTAGAAAAATCGCAAAAGCTTCGATGATCAGGCTACTATATCATATAGCTGCCATAAAAATAAGAATATTAATGGAAAATTCTAGAAAAATAGAGCGCCATATCGTACATTTTATCGCTGACTTTATAAAGACCCAACTAACAATGGGAAATAATTTTGTTGCTATAGATTCATTATGAGCTTGGTCATTATTTAAGAACGTTAAGATCTCAGAAAAATCTCCACCAGATTTTTGGAATACAGTTTTCAAGCGACTTTTAAATTATGAATAAAGTTTCATCAAAATCACAAGGCTAATCATATACATACATATCTGTCATAGGAACAATCGAAGAGATTATAGAAAACAAGTAGAAAAATCGCAAAAGCTTCGATGATCGGGCTATACCATATATACATATAATAAGATAAAATAAGAATACATATTAATGGAAAATTCTAGAAAACTAGAGCGCCATATCGTACATTTTATCGCTGACTTTTTAAGGACCCAACTAACAATGGGAAACAATTTGGTTACTATAGATTTATTATGAGCTTGGTCGTTATCTAAGAACGTCAAGATCTCTGAAACTATGTTCTAAAACATGTTGACTCGACAGCTTTAATGGCCAATACTGAGCATTAATCGTGCAGTTTGTAAAGGTGAACTGCAGTGAACACTGGTTTTAAGAATTTGACCCTCAAAATTGTTCATCTGCGTTTCTGATTGAACGCCGACTAAGTTATCCAATCCCACATTCAGTAAATGCAATCCACCTGTTTGTCATATAATCTTTTTGTTTTATTTGCTTGCTTCTTGGTTGGTTTGTTTTACTTCTTGTTATTATAGAGCAAATGTTTATGTTTTTCATGTAACTACATAGGTTTTATGTTATATTACTGTTATATGATAATTTAATTCTAGCGTTTTATGTTATAACTTGACCAGCATCTCAGGAGATGCCATTGTTTCCAGTTAAGTGTAATTATTTTATTTATATAAATGATTTTATAGTTATATATGTATATATACCACATGTCAGTAATCAGTTTTCAGTACTGCAAAGATTTGTATCTAGTTATAGTGTAAGATCGGTTTGCTTCTTGCTTTTAACGTTAATCCATTTTTATTTGATTTTTATTAGCTTCCTGTTCCTTCTTTTCTGTTAGACAACACAAAAATGTATGCATATGCTTCAAGTACAATAAAGTTATGTAATGTTACAGTTTAAATATAATATATTTATATATATGTATGCGTATTTTATGTAAGAGGGATGTACTAAATACTAACTTCATTTTATCAGCTCTCCCTTAATCCGTTTCTCTTTAATTTTTCTTTAAATTAAACGTACACCCACCTAACGATGGCTTTTTATCCTCATATTTTTAAACTTCTTTTGATGTAACACAGCTTGCAGAATTTGCATTAATTTTCTTTTAGGCATGAAAGATAGATCATTATGGTATAATTATGTTAAATGTATTATTAGTTTTGTAAGTGTAACTTCAAGGGTGGGCGTTTTTATTTAGATCATTTGTTTTGGGTTGTGTTATGCGTAAAACTTGATGAATTATTCCACTTCTACAGAAGGGCCACTGCTCAACCTCCAATGCTCCAGTTTCTCCTCTTCATCCCACTTTCGATCATTTTTTTCTAATAAGCGTTTATGCATATTTAATGCTTACAAATTAATTAAACTCATATTTATACGCCAGAGAAAATGTTCAACATAACAAGTAAACTTAATAAAATAATGCTTTGATTAAAGTAAGTGTTAGAATTAGAATGAGAGTAATAAGAGTTGGAGAAAAGAAACTAAAACAAATTTAACTAGATCGCCAAGCTTAGATCGACATTTTCGGTTGGACAAATGATCGGTCATTGAATAATCGATTTAACTATTCAATTTATTTAAGGTAACATTTAATGGGAGAGGTATGGTGTGTAATCCATCACGTTTCCTTCATGTAGACTTCATCCCCGTCAGCATCCTTGTTCTTTTGTCGTTTCTTCTTTTTTTGCAAAACTCGGTATTAAAAAAATAGTTTAGTTTTATATTTATATTGAAATTTAGCAGGGTGCGCGCTTTCCACGAGGAAAAGTGAAGAGACGGGGGAAGCGCGTGTGGCGAAAGTAACTTTCGTAAGAAAAAGAAAAAAACAAACAAGACGCATCCAGGTAAACCATGCTGCAGCGGTTTCGTTGCGCCAGGAATATAGCATACAGAATATCTTCCATATGGTATCGTTTATCCCTTGGCTTAGTTCCCGTTTGTGTGTGGTTGCAGGTCTGGATTTCGTGGAAAGGGGTTGGTTGGTTTTGATTCCTATCCTGCTTACGAGAGGTGGAAGGACATGCTGCCCTCGTTGGCGGCCACTTTCAGTTTCTGCCGCATCACCTCGCGACTGGAGTAGTCGGGCAACTTCAGATAGTTGACGCAGGTCATCACAGATGGTAGGTAGTCATTGGGGTTTTGGTTTCCGTCCAGCGTTTTCCGCACGATAGTTAGGGGCGGCGTCAGCGCCTTGAATCCGCCGGTCGGCAGACGCGGCGATCCGGTCACAAACTGCAAGAAGGCTCGCTGCTCGTCGCGATTATACGAGGACAGGATCTCGTACAAGAACTGGATAGCCTGCGACTCCTGGTGGAATCCGTGGTCCGTGCGGCAGCTGTCCTGCAGCATCTTGGGCTCCCAGCGCTGCTGCTGCTGCTCGCTGGCCGATCCGCAGAAGACGCACTCCAGCTCCTCTGGGTAGAACATGCGCAGCCTCTGGATCGGAAACACTGAATCGAAACCTAAAAAAGTGTGTGTCATTAGAAAGGAAGTACGAATGCAAGAGCTTTGTAAAACCATTTTAATCTGAGGTTCATGGAACTTGATTGCAAAATCATTTCTATGCCACCAAGATATTATATTGGCTGTGTAATATCGTAAAAGTCATGGTTAACTCACCCTCACGCAGAGCCTCGAACTGCTTCTGAACGCCCTCGATGAGGAACCAGTAGGTGACCAGCGAGATGTACTGGTGCAGGTTGTGCACGGTCACTGGTGTATCGCGACCGCCACGGCACAGCTCAATGGTGGAATGTCCGGGCAGCATGAAGTCCAGGCCCAGGTCTGCGATGGGGCAGCCATCCAGGTCAAGTTGTTCAATCTGAAAAAACGAAATGGTTAATGACAAATCAAACGTTTTCACAATGTAAGAATTTTGATTAACTTACTTTCTCTGTTTTCTCCATGGCGTCGATGTTTGGATCGGAGAGAATGTATTCCCGCTGGCGCACCACATCCTGCAGACGAACCAACGAGCTCTGGACCTCCGGGGCCACGCGCATCAGATCCGCCAGGCCGATCGAGTGCTCCTCGTTGACCAGCCAACGATAGAACGGCAACGAGAAGGGCAAGTCCAGCTAAGAAGAAAAAGAAAGTATCAATATTAGTATTAGTGTTCCATTGGGTTAACAAAGGAGCCAGCCTACCATGCGACTGTCCATCACCGCCTTGGCCATGAACTTGCCCAAGAACTTGAACTTGGCCTTGGCCTTGGTCATCTGCGGAAGCTTCGAGGACTTGCCCAGGGGCAGAGGGAAGAGGCCGTGCACCGCATGCACGTAGCTCATCATGGTCGTGGTGGTGGTCGTGGTGGTGGTGGTGCTGGAGTGATTCGTGGTGGTGTTCTGCTCCACCACACTGGTCGTGGTGGTGGTGCTGCCGGGATTATCAGTAGTGGCTGCTGGGTCAGCAGAGTTCATATCACCGAATTGCTGTGCGATAATCATGTTGAGGGCGTTCTCGTTGGCGCCAGTGCTCGAGGAGCTGTGCTCCACCGGCTGCGCCGGTTGCTGCTGCTGCCCACCTCCGCTGCGCAGGACGTGCGAGCGGCTGCTGGAACGGGTGGGCGGAGGCTGCTGCTGCTGCTGTTGAGTGGTCGTCGTCGTTGTGGTGGTGGTGGTCGTGCTGCTCACAATCGACGCTCCTCCCGCCGCCGGGGGACTCTGGTCCATGGTGGTTGCCTCGAGAGCGTCCTCGATGTGTAACACAGTGTTGCTGGCCTTCACCACGTCCACGATGGCCACCGAGCTGTGCTTGTAGCTGTCGCTGCCGTTCCACAGGCCCAGATCCGTGCGCTGCAGCTCCGCAGAGACCAGCGCGTAGAACTCCAGGGTGGGACCCAGACCCGTGCCAACCTCGTTCTCGTACTGGATCTCCAGCAGGGCCTTGGAGTGCCCGAAGTCCTGCAGGATGTGCTCGGCCTGCTTGAGGATCTCCGAACGGGAAATTGCGCGCTTGCGGCGGTCGAGGCGAGGAGCCACGCGCTCCGAGGACTCCGCTGCGTTCAGGTCGGGCGTGGTGTCCAGCAGGCGCTGCAGGGCGCGATCCCTGTCGAAGCTGGTGGCATAGAAGAGCAGGTGGCGCGTCTCGAACGGGAAGAGGAACGGACAGGCCATGCCGATCTGGGGCAGCCACTGCGGCAGGTTGCCCGTCATGATGACCAGCGGATCCTGCAGCTGGCGGTTGGCCTTGGCCGTGATCTTCGGGTGCACGAACTCCGACTGCGGAATGATGTTCTGGCGCACCACGCACCCGTACAGATGCTCCCAGTACCGGTTGAGGGCGTGAATCACCCGCAGCATGCACAGCGCGTCCAGCGAGGCGTCCTGCACGGTCACCACATCCGCTGGCAGCGAGCTGCTGAGGAAGGGCTTCAGGGCGGAGACCACTCCCGGAGCTATTCCCTCGTGCCAGAGCTCCGTCTTCTTGCGCATGAACTTGCTGCTGGACTTGTGCGCCTTCTTCGAGGAGGAGCCCCCGCCGCTGGCCACTCCCGAGGAGGAGGAGCACGAGGAGGAGGCGTTCGCGTAGCTGGAGGCGGAACTGGAACTGCTCTGCTGCTTCTGCACGCCACTGCTGCACGAGCTGCTGCTCGAGGCTGCCCCGGCGGCCGCTCCGGCAGCCACCTCCTCCTCCACGGGCCGATAGTAGATGGTGTGCTGCTGCACCCATATGCTGGCGTTGCCCAACAGGGTCTCCGACTCGTTGTCGGTCTCCGGCTGCTCACTGACCAGCGGCGAGAACTGCTTGACCGCCTGGTAGACCGTCATGTTGTACGGGAGCACGTGCTCCCCGATCGTAAACTGCAGCTTGTGCTTGAAGCCCGCCTGGGTCATCACCACGGCGGCCACGTTGTCGTCCATGTCCTCCTCGCTGTCATCATCCGAGTCGGCCCGGATGCCGCCGTAGCCGCGCACCACCAGGTACCGCTCGATGGCCTGCACCATGGCCAGCGGGTCGATCTTCACAGTGCCGCCCTTCCACTGGCGCAGATTGCTGCACTGCGGGTGACGCTGCAGGTTGCACTGGAGAGCAGGAATATAATAAATTAATATGTATGTTTCGTAATATAATTATATTAGATAATTTGATAATAATAAATAATTAAATCATGTGTGGCAAGCAGCCCTATGTACATATACCTATTATTAAGCACTGCTTGATAAGCAGTTAACGTTATTGTATATTCCTTAAGTTAAGTCATCCTTTGTGTCCCCTTACTCCTTTAAGAAACACCATGTAAACCCATCTCTAAGTATGTACGTCTCTCTCTTGCACATACGAGATTGTGAAATGCCGTAAACTGTGCAACTCTTCTTGTGAAACCTATTATTATTTAAGGGCCTATTATTATTATAGCTTACCTTCAGTTGGTGGGTGTTGAAGAACCGCAGCGCACTCTGGTTGGACCTGCCACCAGGACCGGCAGGGAAGTCGTGCACCTTGACCGGGAACTGTTCCAGCTGCGTGACGCAGCCGTTCAACTTGGCCACGAAGGCGCCGAAGGCCAGCGGCTCGATGGTCGGCAGCTGGCCGACGTTCTGCAGCAGAGGTTCCAGCGGGAGGCCGGCGAAGACGTGCATGAAGCTGCGCAGGCGCGCGTCGCGCTCCACCAGCCCCGACTCGCTGGTCATGTAGTTGAGCATGGCCTTGATCAGGCCCGAGTGGTTCACCTCGAAGGGCGAGATGTCGCTCTCCAGGAGAATGGTCTTCAGCTCGAGGAGAGCGTCGAGGCAGTCGTGGTAGCTGCCGTTGAGCTTGAACAGAATGCTGGACAGACGCTCCAGGACGTTTGTGCTGCCCGCCGTGGACAGCGGAGTATTGCCCGTCGAGGACAAGCCCACTCCGCTGCTGCCGCCGCTCTGGCTGGCTCCGCTCTCCGAGGCCGCCTTGCTCCGCCTGGCCTCCTGCTCCGTGTAGCGCTTCACAAAGTCCACCGCCTGCTCCCGCACCCACTGACGGGCCCTCTCCCTGTTGGCCGCCGCCAGGAGGTTGGCGTGCGAGATGCTCTTGCTGATGCTGGCCGCCACGGCGGCTGCGTTCAGTCCTCCGGCCGCGCTGCCAGCGCCATGCTGGGTCACCGTGTAGGCCAGGCCGGCTCCAGAGCCGCTTCCACCTGAGTTGGCGCTGCCAGAGTCCTTGGAGAGGCCGTGGTGCTGCTGCTGCGACTGCTGGTGGTGGTGGTGGTGGTGCGCCGTCTGGCGGCCCCAGCGAGCCGGGTTGAGCGAGGCCAGGAACGAGGACTTGCTCGATCCGGCATTGGTCGAGTTGCCGGCGTTAAAGCGCGACTTGGAGCTCCCGGATCCGCCGCCCGAACTGGGCGTACTCCTGCCACCAGTTCCGCTGCCAAGACCTTAAATATCAAAGGATGTTTTGGTTAGGCTAATGTAGGCAAATAATAAATACGCACTCTTACTTGTGGCGCGGCTGAGAAGTTCGTGCATGGCCGAGCTGGCCGAGCCCGGTGGCGCTCCTCCGGCTCCAGATCCCGCTGCCGTGACGGCCGCATCCTCCTGCCGGGACTTGGCCCGACCACTGCTCTGCGACTTGCGCTTGGGCGGCGCCTTCCGCTTCAGCATGTCCGTCATCTTGTGCTGCAGCGCCGAGGCCGAGGACGAAGAGGACGACGACGAGGAGGCCGAGGCGGCTGCACTGCTGGTGGAGGCCACCACCAGGTGGGCGGGCTGCTGCTGCTGCTGCGGCTGGTAGATCACCTGGGGCCCCGCCTGCCCCTGCTGCTGCTGGGCTCCAGTGGGCAGGAGCTCCAACTGGGGCGGCGGCGGTGGGACTGCTGGCTGCTGGAACTGCACGTACTGCCGCGGATCCCCCTGCTGGGCCACAAAGAAGGCAGCGGGCGCTCCAGCGCTCGAGGACGAGGACGGTGCCGAACTGCTGTAGTTGTACCCGCTGGCTGGAGCCGAGGTTCCAGTCGCGTCCAACGCTCCGGCAGGAGTTCCCTTGGCGCTGGCCGTCAAGGCGTTCATGGCATGCGAGAAGCTCTTCACGCTGTACGACTGGTGCTTGCTGCTGCTGGGCGTCGTGGAGGCACTCGACGATCCCGGAGCGCTGTCCATGAAGAAGGGGTTCACCTGCAGACTGTTGGCGGAGGCCGGTGCCGACTGCGAGCCGCCCGCATTGGCGGTGGGCGTGGCCGTTGTGCTGAGGGGCTTTGGCGATGGGTTTGCGCATATGGGATTGTTGGGATCGGTCAGCTGGGTGAACTGGTAGATGACGCCCTCGCGACGGAAGTGAGTGCCAAAGACATCGGGCAGCTGGCGCATCAGGATCTCGGCCATTTGGAGGGCACCCACAACGATGCGCAGGTCGTTGCTGCCCAGCATGCCGGCAATGTGGCTGGAGACCAGCTGGTACTTGAGCACCTGGCGCAGCAGCTCCGGCGTGGCGTAGTACACCATGCGGAGCAGGGCGCGCAGGCACTTGTACCGCACATTCGGGCCCGCCGACGAGCTGTACACCTCGTACAGCACATTGAAGATGTGCTTGATGAAGTCAGCTGCCAGGCCGCGCTCCTCCTGAAAGGAATAAAACGGAGGATGCATAAGTCATGAGGGTCAGGAATAAAGATCATCCAATTTCTTACCTTGAGGCACGCGATTCTGGCGTCCAGGGAGGGGCGGCGCTTCACCTGACTGCCGCTGTTCCCTGGCGGATTGTTGTTGTTGTTGTTGTTATTGTTGTTGGAGGCGGCGGCTGCGGCGGCGGACGTGGAAGCTCCTCCCGAGGCCGCAGATCCAGCCGCATTGGTGGTCAAGTCCTGGCCCGCCGACACGGGCGCCACGTAGTTGTGGTTGAGGCGCCGCTGAACGGGACGAGTGGTGCCGGTGTCCTCGTTGATCTGCTGCATGGCATGGAAGTCGACGGTGTAGGTGCGCCCGAAGGTGCTCAGGCTGATCTCGTCCTCGCTGCTCTGGTTGGCGGCCTCGATCAGCCGCGAGTCGATCGTAGAGTAGTTGTGCCAGGAGCCGCGATCGTCGCGCCACTGCCAGTGCACCTGGTCCTGGGTGTTCAGCGTGGGCCTGTCCAGCAGCGAGTCCACGGCGAAGATCCCGTCCAGGGGCAGGCGCGGCATCAGCTCGCCGATCAGGCAGGTGAGCTCATACAGCTCCGATGGCGAGCGCGAGATCAGCTCCACGTGCGTGGCGCTGGCGGCCGCCGGCTCCGCGTTTCCGGTGAGCAAGTAGAGCAGGGTGGCCGCTATGTCGTTCCTCAGCAGGGAAATGGCCAGGTCCGGACAGCTACCGCACATCAGGCTGAGCATCCGCACGACGGCCGTGAAGGTGCCCGTGTTCAGGATGGCCGGCGTGACCAGCAGCAGTTGCTGGCAGTTCTTCAGCAGGTCCGGACTGGCGATCTGCTGCAGCCGCTGGCCGTCGTGCTGGAAGCTCTCCACCAGCCGGCAGAAGGCGGAGCACACGCTCTCCACGCACTTCTTGTCCTGCTGCGACAGCAGGCGCGCCAGCAGGGGCAGGCTCTCCGCGACGAAGTGGAACTCCTCGGGATGCATGTTCAGGCAGCAGTTGGCCGCGATCGCCAGGGCTGCGCGCTGCGCCACGATCGAAAAGAAGTCCAAGTAGGTGAGGCAGGCCGAAATGCCGTTCGCCTGCAGAATGGCCTTGTTGTGGCGCCTGGAGAGGATCTCGAGCGCGGTCAAGCTCTGCTCCGCCACGTCCATGCACTGGATGACCTGGAGCTTCTCCAGGAAGACGGGCACCGCTTCCACGACGGTGCCCGAGGAGCGGGGCAGGGCCTCCAGCATGTAGGCCAGGGCCCGGCACGCGTTGTTCATGATGTCGAAGTTGTGCTCCATGCGGAGGAGCTGGATCAGGGCAGGGACCACCTGCTTGATGGGGAAGCCGGCGAGGGTGTCCTCGTTGCCCATCACCAGCATCTGGCACATTTCGATGGCAGCCTGCAGCTGCTGGGACTCGTCGTGCGACTGCAGTCCCTGCAGCAGCTGGTTGGCCTTGGAGCTGCTGCTGTTGCCAATGGTGCGGTGGAGGATGTGCGTCATCCTCGGGCCCAGTGCCCCAAACAAGTGCGGCGGCAGGCCGCGGGCCTCGAGCAACGCCTGCAGACGACCCACCTCGCTGTCATCGCTCTCCGAATCCGCGGCTGCAGCCCCCCCTGCTCCTCCGCCGCCGTGCTGAGTGCCGCTGCTCGTTCCGGTGGCTGCGGGTCCTCCTCCTCCTCCAGGAGCAGAGCCCGACCCCGTGGCGGTCACATTGTTGCTGCTGCTGCTGCTGCTGCTGTTGCTGGCTGGTTGGCCGGCCCCGCTGTTGCTGCTGCTCGTCGCGCCCACGGCGCTGGTGGATCCTCCGGACGCAGCCGATGCTCCGGTGGCTGGAGCTGCTCCTCCGGCCGATCCCCCTCCTCCTGCTCCTCCTCCTCCGCCGGTTCCTCCTCCGACGTCACGGGCGGCACTCAGAGCGGCCGCTACAATGCTGAGATTGGCTGAGTTGGCACCTAGGAGCGCGTCGCGGAGAAAGACAAAAACCTCCTCGTTAATATCAAAGTTTGGCATGGTTTCTGGGAACAATTTGTTGTTATATTGAGGGAATTTTACAGTGTGGAGGAGGTTATAACATGAAACAAATATGTCAAAACAGAAAGAAAAGGCTTAGCCTAACGATTTTGTAATACGACTGAGTTTTCTTGAAAAACGGAAAGTGTTTTGAGGAGCACAAACAAATCAATCACGGAATTAATATTCAAAAATAAATTAATATTTGGGATTTGATAAATTTGATTCAAATATTTTAAGGTAAAGGATTCGTTTAAGTCATTTATGTTTTATTTAAAACACATCAAATATGAAACAATGAAATAGTTTTGTGCTGTACATAGGCAAAATTAAATTCCAATTTATTTTTTACCGGAAACAAGTTACATTTTCTGTTGAAAACAGAGAATAACCCAAAATAAATTTAGATTGTTTAAGATAAAATTTTGAAGTTATGGAGTAAAATTAAAGTAGATGAAAGTAGATGGAAGGGGTACACAGAAATTTTTAATAAATAAAACGTAACTAAATCAAAACTAAACAGCAAAACTAAAATCTTAAGGTAAGCTACAGACGAGGAAAAGTAATGGGTGAAAGAACAGGGGTGCTGCCACCTGGGTCGTCCAGTGGAGGAGGTGTGTGTGTGTGTCTGCGGGACGAGGGGGTAAAGTAAAATCGAGGCGTGGCAAAATGTGTGTGGGGATGGGCTGCATATGAGTGTGAGTGCGTATGAGTATACTGATCGATTGGGGTGTACGTTTACCTGGCGTTATTTGCTGTCCACCTGCATGCGGCGGTCCACTTGGCGGTTGCTGTGCCATCAAACTATATGTTAAAGCATCCGAAGCTGCTAACCAGACATGAGACACGGAGACACGGAGACAGGGAGCGGGGTGGATAGAGAAAACAGAGCAAAACAAAGTTAAGTTCACTATTATTTCGGTTCAGTTCAGATTTAGGACTTATTTGGGCAGACACCGCGAGCAAAGCAACGCAGGAATGATCGAGCGAGGGGCAGAGGGGAGGGGGAGGGGGTTGGTGTGTTTCAAAGGTGTGTAGTTTTTGTTTTTCTTTCAGTGCAATGGGTAGAGTTATCACCTAGTCCATAACCAGCACCAAGAGGATAGGGAGTGAGACCAAGACCCTGCATTTTGTACAGTATTTACGAATCTATCTTGAAAAAATAAAGGCCTTAAGATTTCTATTCTACAGCATCTACATTTACATTTGTAACCTTTTAAAAAAAACCCATCTTGAAACCCTAACCCTACAGTGCGTGTGTGCGTTAACATTCCGTTACTCCAAACCAGGGCTGCTAGCATTCCCTTACTCCAAACCAGGGCTGCTCAACTATCCCTATTCGAAAGGCGCCCGAAACCAACAACAAGGTCGGTCAAATGGGCTTCTGTCGAGCGGAGCAACAACTCTCTTTCACATGTCATAGTGCAAAGGTCAACCATGTTATTTGTTGCCCTGTGGCCCTGCTTCATATACTCCTTTGCATTCGCTCTAATTCGAACCCATTCTAAAATCGATTGGGGGCCTTCGTATTTGGTTTGCTTGCGGTTTCTCCTCCTCTCGTCCTTCTTTTTCTTCCTTCTTCATCTTCTTCTTCTTCTTCTTCTTACCACTGCTATGCGTCACTTTGGGGCCCTGATGTATTTGCTGCGTCGGTTGCTGTTGCTGCTGCTGCTGCGGATGGTTGCTGCGGTAGCTGAACAGGAATCCCGGCTGCACGAGCGTGGCACGCTGCTGTTGTTGTTGCTGCTGATGCTGCTGATGTTGCTGCTGTTGTTGTTGTTGTTGCTGGTGTAGGGCCAGTTGCTGTTGTTGTTGCTGCTGCTGCTGTTGCAACTGCTGTTGATGACGCACGGCAACGACAACGGTATTGCCGCCCACCTGTTGGTATTGATAGGTACCAGGCGGTGGCAGCAATTGCTGCTGTACAGCAGCAGCAGCGCTGCTATGTTGCTGTTGCTGCTGGTGGTGTTGCTGCTGCTGTGCTGCCGCTGCCGAACTCACGCAAGAACCCGTCTTGCCACGTGAACTGCGTCGCAGTGAAGAGTGCTGCTGCTGCTGCTGTTGTTGTTGTTGCGGATTGTAGGCGACCTGTTGCTGCTGCTGCTGCTGCGGAGGCACGAAGGTGGCCGATGTAGTTGCTGTTGCCGGCGTGTAGCGCGTTAGCTGTGGCGGCGGCTGTTGCTGGTAGAGAGCCGGCGGTGGTCCTGCCCCTGTGGAGGTAAAATGGTGCGGTGGAGGTTGTTGATGCAACACGGCCACAGAACTATGGTAATAGTGCGGCTGCGGTGGCTGTTGCACGTGTTGCTGTTGCTGGTGTTGCTGATGATGCTGATGCTGATGCTGGTGTTGGTGTTGATGGTGTTGCTGCTGTGCAAAGTAAGCGGCAGCAGCAGAAGCCGGGGATAGTGGGCCGCCGCTGCTGCTGCTGCTGCCGCTGCTGCTGTTGGTGTTACGAAGGAAGACAAGTGTGCGAACTGGTGTGTGGGCAGCAGTTGAGGTGGCTGTTGTGGTTGCTGTTGGTGAGCTTGTTGTTGCTGCTGCTGTTGTTGTTGTTGCTGTTGCGACGGAGGTTGTGGCGGTTGTTGTTGTTGCTGCTGCTGCTGTGGCGTCAAGACATATGGCGTGGTTGTTGTGGCCGCCGTGAGGTGCGGCATAATGCTGTAGTCAACAACGTTGTTGCTCGTATTGCTGTTGCTGCTATTGCTGCTGCGCGTGGCACGTGGCCCGCCCCCTCCAGCGCCTGGCCCCGCCCCCTGTCCATGGGGGGCGGCACGTTGCTGATAGCCGGACGACGTTGTTGCTGTTGTTGTCGCCTTCAAAGTGTTCGCTGCCACTGCTGCCGCTGATGTGTTGTTCTTGGTTGTTTTAGTGTTGTTGCTGGCACGTTGGGGTTGTTGTTCTTGTTGTTGTTGTTGATCTCCTTTTCGAGTCAAGTGTGGTCAGGAGGTGTGTGTGTGTGAGTGGAGAGAGATAATGGGGTAGAGGGAGTAGAGAGAGAGAGAGTAGTGGGATACAACAGTTAACAGCTTTGTTTATTGATGGTTTTCAATCATTTTGGGGCTTTGTTTTTATTGTTATTTTCTTGCAGCTACACTACTTGAGTTAGTTGGTTTGTTTGACTTGTTTTTTTTTTTTTTTCATTGTTTGATGTAATGCAAAGAATATTATTACTTTGAGCGCAGTGTGTGTTTGGCTTTCAAAAGGGTAATGGCAAGGGGAAATCAGGAGAGGAGACCTGAACGACCTTCTGTCGCTGACAATGATGATGTTGCTGCTGTGGCTTCTGATGTTGCAGTTGCAGTTGCAGATGCTGCTGATCTCTCTCAAATTAAACTAAGCACACGCACACACACGCACCCGTGTATTCTGTTAAGTTCACTTATTCCCCGTTTATTAATGTTTATGCTGCACTTTGTTGTTGCTGCTGCTGTAAAGTTGCTGTTGACGCCTCTGTCGCCGCCGCCGCCTCACTCTCTCATCTCTCTCTCATTCTGCGCTGCACAGTTAGCTGCTCACTTGCCGCCTTTGTTGACACCACAATACACTTGGAATTTCGCTTTAGTTTATTGTTTTGCACAAAAACAACAACATCATCATCATCATCAACAACACAAGCATCAGCAATCAAGTATTCTTTGACTCAAAATCATATGATAAGAAGAGAGTTTTATTTAATCACTTTTGTTTTAGATTCAAAATAATAATTTTTTGGCTCATATTAAAGTGAAAACAACTATATGTCAACAACAACAACAACGTGCAAAAATAAACATTTCTTTTTCGCAGGGTGAAAGAATAAGGGTTTAAAATAATTTGAAAACAAGTTCGAAAATAATATTGCCTTGCTTTCCAACTCTGACTGTACAAGGTTTGCCCCCGAATAAAAGTATTTTTTAAAATGTCACATGAAACAAAGTTCTACAGGTATAACACCACACTGTTTTTTTCTTGCCTAAACAGTAAATAAAGTAATAGAAAACAAGTACAATGTGATTCATGTGAGGGGTTAAAATCATAATATGGGCGTTATTTGCGTTTTGATAAAAAGCGTAAATTAAAAATCAATATCAGAGAATGATTTTTGGGGATGGGTCAAAGGGTGGGTGAAATAATGGCAATGGCGGTTGTGGTATTTTGGCCACAGGTGACAGCACAGAAAGTTCTGAACACTTTTCCCGTATTAATTTTTTTTTTAACCGATAATAATAGGTTACATACATGCAATACGATTGAAGAAGCAAATTAAAGAGGTACTGCTCAACTATATTTATTCAACTACGAACTTTTTAATCAGCGCAATTCTATATACACATATGTATGTGTGTATGTATAACAGTACATATATTCCCGTTCCAGACAGCGCAATGTACGAATTAAGACTGCCAGCCGATCGTTGCCGATGACATTTTTGAGTGCGTTGGCATTCCGCACCATTCGCCTTTTATCAAAATCACAAAAACTCTACAGTAGACATTCGGCAATAGCGACAAGTCGAGGGAGCTTCGTGGAATAAGTACTTCGTCATTGTATAAGCACTCGTATTTTGCAACTGATAACAAATGCGCAAACTGATAGACAATAAAAAACACTAAAACATTATGCCAACAGAAAAACGAGAAAGTGCTATTTCAAAGATAGCTCAAATTTAAAGCATGTCAACTTAATCTTTTTTGGAAAATTGAAATTTTCATTTAAAATGTGTCGAAATATTCTTTTGCCAATTAAAATTCCATTTTAATTTTTTATGTACAGAGATTAAAATAAACTTTAAAAAGAAATACTATTGTCTTAAGTTAAAGAAGTCTATATTATTTGTTAGCAGGGTAAACAAATGTTAATGGAAAGCATTCCCAATTATTTTAGAAAACTCAAAATCAAGCTGAAGCGATTATCGCTTCATTACGTTAACTATATTTAACTAAAACAACGTTAATATTTACAAGACATCTACAGACGTACTACCGTGGTGAATGGGAGATGACAGCAGAGTGCTATTTGCTTGAAAGGTAATTCGAAGGAACTTACCACCAAGTTCACCAATCAGTTGCTGGGCGAATTCGCTCTCAGAGAGATCCTCCTCCTCAATGTCCTCGTCCTCCTCGATGTCGTCTTCCTCGTCGTCGACGTCCTCCTCCGTTGTGATCTCGTCCTCCTCGGCGACGATCTGGGCGTCCTCCTCGTACGACGAGTCCGCTGAGTTTACAATCTCGTAGAAGCCCACCTCTTCCTCCTCTTCTTCCTCTTCCTCGTCGTCCTCCTCGTCGTCGTCGTGGTCGTCCTGCTCCTCGGCCCGGCCCTTCGCCTCCGACTGGCTCTGACTGTGGTGTACGGCTGTCGTCGTCTCTGGCTGGTTCAGAGCCGCCTCGTTCGTCGGCAGCTGGTCCAGGTTCCCGTGCCCCGGCTGCTGCTCCTCAGCTCCAGCTCCACTTCCAGCACCAGCACCAGGTCCTTCTGGCCCCGCGCTCTCTGCGTCCAGCAGACTCTGGTGCGAGTGGCGCAGGCTCTTCCTGTACTTGTTGATCACGCCCGCTGATCTGTTGCTGGATCCGGATCCCACCGATCCGTTCCGGCTGCTGGCGGCCGTTTCCTCCGCCTGTAGCACCTGCTTCTCCGGCTTCTGGGAGGAGCGCGTGTGGCTGGCCTTGCGCGTCTTGCGGTAGTAGTTCAGCAGATTGCCGCTGCGACCGGCGCGAGCAGCTGCTGCCCCTCGATGGGGAGTGGTTTCGACCACAGCCGCTGGTCCGCCACCACTGGCCTTGCGCTTGCTGCGATTGCTGGCCGGGAAGCTGCTGGAGCTGGCACTGGCACTGGCCCGGATCTGGTTGTTCTGGTGACCGCGAGCCACCGCCGCCGCGCTGCTAGTGCTCGGCTGCTCCTCCGGGGAAATTGTCTTGGAGCGCGTGCGCTGGGCCACACAGTCTCCGGATGCCTGGCGCGGCGTCTGGTCGATTCTAGCAGCAGCTAAGCCGGTTCCTACTGCTCCTCCGACGGCTCCTGATCCCAAGGCCTGCTGCAGGCGACGTTTCTTGAGCGGCGAGCAGAGCTCCACCAACTGATCTCCACCGGGCGCCGCTGAAAAAGGCATCGGAGGTAATTAGGATCAAATTAGGTTTATCTCTTCGACTCGGCCGACGGGTTTTCCTATATAACTTGTTATTCTGTGGCTTTTTTTTCGGATGGGGATAGGAGAAACGATTGACTGCTTTTGAAATTTAGACAAACGAACAAATACAGTAAAAACTAACATAATTCAAAAGGTAGAGAGAACAAATAAAAGTTTTTTCGGATTTTTAGTTAAGTGCTTTCGCTATTAAGTTTATAATCCCTCTTCCAAATCTGTATATAAAAGTTTAACTATTTAATGATCGCTTCGCTCATCCTGGTAATCCAAAGTATTTATCAATTGTCAATTATCAACAATTGAAAGTGGAATATCGAATTTTATAACGATACACTAACGATAAACCAAATCAGTTGGCAATTAACATCTGTGAACATTTCTCATGCAGACAGCGAATGCAATAAAATAAACTTATGGGGCAACTTACGTTGGTGGCTACTACGAGTGTGATTACTGCTGCTGCTGCTGTGGTGATGGTGGCGCTTGCGACTGCCGGGTGACAGCGAATGATCACTGGGCACCGGGATGGAGTTGGACGCCGGCGATGATGGAGAGCGAAAGACTCCTGCCGTGCGCTTGGAGCCTTGTGACTCCTTGGTGCTGCTGCTGGCTGCTGCAGAGGCAGAGGCAGAGGAGTGGCGACCTTGGCTGCGAGATCGACGGGTGGATTTGGGTGCAGTTGCAGTTGCAGTCGAGGTGGTGGCTACTACGTCGACGGAGGAGCTGACTGTAGGGCCGGATGACGTCGCCGAAGTGTTGCGCTTCCGGTTTTTGCTCTGGCCCTTGCTGCTGCTGCTGCTGCTACTGCCGTTTGTGTTGTTGTTGTTGCGTCGCCGCTGGGACGAGTGATTGGATGAGATTGTGGTACTGGCCGCACTGCTATTATTGGCCAATGTCGCTCCTGTTGCTTTTGAACCACCGTCGTCGTCGTCGTGCTGCCCCTCCGTCAATGCAGAGAGCGATTGACTTTTAACGGATTCGGCCATAGACGACACTTAACCGCACCGGCATCGAACACACTTAACATGCCAACACAACCAATAATTGAATATTGATCTCGAAATGTTTGCTCTGAATCGGTCCGATAACTAACACCATGCAAAAAGTCTCTAAGCTATATTTAAATTCAATTCGCAATTTGACTTTTCCTCTTTTACATCATCATTTCATAATCACTGTTTTCTGTCTCTTTCACTTCACTTTTTACAGTTTTCTTGTCGATTTCCTTAATGCGTGCTTCGTTGGAGAGAGAGTGTTGTGCTGCAATACAGAAAGGAGGATACAAAACGGGTGTTAAGGCAATGTGAAACAAAGTAACAAAATAGAACGCATTTAACGGTCACGTTGCACTAGAGATGGAGACAAAGAATTGGCTAGGAGTCAAGTAAACTGAATGGTTAGGGATAGGAATAGTGGCAATGGAACTTTTCTCACTCACAACAGTTAATTAGAAACCTTTTACAGAAAACTTAACTTCTACGTTATAGGTTTATCGATTTTTTAACCAAACGGATAACAGATAGGAAATTAAGAAACTCAACAACAAAATGGCCGGAAAACAAGGCGAAATGCCACCTAAAAATAGTCACAAAGCAGAACAGAAGGAACCAGATAGAGAGCCTTACCCCAGGAACTAGAATATGCAGAAACAGAGATGCAAGAAGGCAGCCGAGCGAAGTGATCGGGAACAGACAGGAAATGCTGAAACGCTGACTTCTGACAATGCCGAGTGGTATGTAGGTAGTGCCCAAATGGAGGAGAGGGTCTGCGACCAACAACTGGTAGAACCGAAAACACACAAGAGATAAGGGGCAATATGGAATATGGCACTCGGGGTCTCAAGTGAATGTGAAAAACCGGCTCAACTCAGTTCAGTTCAGGGGTAGAGATAGCGAGAAAGAGAGAGCGGCAGGAGAGAGTGAGAACGGACAATGCTAGAGTCAGATGCACAAAGACAGATTTTCAGCCCCGTTTATAAGGACAGGTACCCGCTGACAACGGACAATGGAAAAAGCCACACCGCATAAGTGCTGCCAACTATTGCTTGACCGAAGCGGTAAAATTAAACAATTTAATTTTAATTAAAGTCTTTTCTTGTTTAAGAGACATCCAACCACAAAAAGTTTAAAGATTTTTGTTAAAATGGAATAGAAATAGTCGTATTGCAATTTTGAAGATTGTGATTTTTTCTTACGTTTTGACGTCTTTAATCTTGACATGAAAGCAAGCTGACTTTTAAAGTTATTTTGGTTGAAATGTTTATTTTACTGTAAAGAATAAGCTTTAAAAAAAAATGAATTTATTACACAATAAAAACGTTGGCAAACTCGAGATTTAAGCTTATATGCTTTTTGCTGAAAAATCTTTACAACTTTAATTTGCGGAATGCAAACAGTTATCAGTTAACTAAATTTCTTAAGTTTTAAACATCATCGGCAAATACCATGTTGGCAACAAAATAAAAACTGAAAGCGGGCAACTGATAACAATAGAAAATATACACCACCTAGAAATAGATACACACCACCACTCAAAAATAACCCATCTACGCCTCCACACTCCACTCACACACTCTTATAAATTTTGTCAACATATGAAAACTGTAAATAAGTTAACAGCTGTTTGTCAGCAGCAGCCACCGACACGTGCATGCGAAAAAGGGAGGAAATCAAATAGAGAGAGAGAGAGCGGGAGCGAATGTTTTGAGTGGAAAAATGAGTGCTGGCTGGCTCACTCACACTAACTTACACTCGCGCACAGCTGTGTTAATCAGCTGTTTTCGGCCGTTTTGTTTATGTTTTGCCTTTCGTAATGCGCAGCGTGTGTGTGTTGGCTATCTGCCCCTTCTTCCTATGTGTGTGCGAGCGAGAAACAAGTTTTGCAAGCGTGTGTGCGTGAGTTGCCATGCTTCTTTCGGAGAAGATGAATTGAAAGAAAATCGAGCAAAGCACAGACTTCTTGATTTTGCTTCCACTCGCCGAAAAATTTAAGATTTGAACTTGTTTTCCGCCCTTTCCGCACACATTATGTACTCGAATCCCCCATCTACGGATATGTACATATAGCTTATACAAAAAAAATATTAATGCGTAGTTCCAACGAGTCTGCCCTTTTATATTTTTCTCTTTTCAGTTTCTGTCAAATTTGACAGGCAAACATGAAAAAATAACGAATTCAAAACTATCGTCAAACATTTGCCAAAGTGGGCAAGCTCAACAAGCGCAAACAAAATTAAAAAAAAAAAACGAATTCAACAAATTCAGTTCAAGGCCATTGAAATGAAACCAGCACCCAAACAAAAAGACAACGTCAACGGTTTTGGTTTGGTGGAAAATTAGACGTTTTTGACTTTTCAATTGCTTTTTGCTAGTTAGAGATGGCACCATGTCTCAAAAATCGACTACGTCGTTTTAGCTATAAAATGTATTTTAAAAAATCTTTTGATTTTTTTAACTTGTTAGCGTATAACAACCTTTCGTTGTTCAACGTTCGTTGAATTAAATGAAACCAGCCCCAGCTAGGTGTCTAACCAAACAATATTACTGAATTATCTCATTCGTGTGGAGATTAAAGCAGACATTTTTGGTACCATTTTTTTTTTTTTTTGCTCGTGAAATTATTACTGCTCTTCTACTTTCTTTTTGATTTTACACTACATTACATTAGCAAGTAAACATAACACAATGAAAAACCTTTTAAGCACTTTTAAGGTCCAAAAAAAATTTAACTTAATAGGCCTGTGTCGACACCGTGATAGCTCGTTCGTTTCAAACACCCAACCTAGGCAATATAATCTATCTACATCTATTAGTCTCCACTCGTATCTGTGCCCCACAAGTTTTTCACACCGAAAAGCGTAGACGAAAAAATAATAAGCGAGGCCACAAATGGCAGCGCCTTCATGCACGAGTGTGCCAGTGTTAGTGTGCTCTGCTCGTGTGTGTAAGCGTGTGCGAGTGCCAAGCATTTTGCTTTGCGTGTGGCAACTCCAACATATGGCGATTGGCTCTGTGGTTGTTGCTATCGGTTGTTGTTGTCGTTTATCAGCAACTGAAAACGTGAGATGGGAAGGGTCTCAAACAGAAAAGGTACCGAAACCGTTAATGCAGTCCACATTTATTTAAAGTTTTCAATTTTCAACAAGCAATAAGTCCAAAAAATAAAATAATCTTTAAATTTCAAATTTGAAAGCCTTAGTAATCAATAATAGAACCAATAGGATGACAATAAATTCTGTAGACTAGGTTTTCTAAATTTTACCCAATTTTCGCGTTCTGATTGATACTTTTTTAACAATGCGTCGTAAAATGGTGGTGAGCGAAAGATAAGTTTAACTGTCGTAATTTCCACCATTTGCTTCAGCTGACTGCAACCCCCAAAGACATGGCAACCCTGGCCCGAGCATAATTGATAACAATTTGTGTGTTCATGTGGCTTTGTCAGCTATGTATGCCCTTCCTCCCCCGTTCCAACCCTCCTCAATTTACCCTGTTCGTTATGCATTGTGCGTGCTGAGTTGCTGGCATTGTTTGTAACTTATTTGAATATCGTTGTAAAGAAGCAGTCGAGCGCATATTGAAGCTGGTCCCAATAGTGCTGCCCTAGCAAGTTTCTATATTTCCCATTTTCCTTTCCCGCATCAGGTCGACATTCTATTTTTTCTCTCTCGTGTTACGAAACCTACCTACGCACAGCTGAGCGTGTGAGCGAGACAGCCTGCGATTTACTTGCCCACTGCGACAAACAGGGGTCAAAATAACAGCCACGCAAGTTCAGTCATTATACTTTCCCAATGGTTTTGAGCCAAACTCTTGAAAATTACAAAGCTTAGTTTTTTTTTTTTACCCTTATAAATTCTTCGAAGTTTAATTTGGTTTACATATTTGAAGAGGAGGGCATTTTAATCTTTTTAAAAAAAAAAATTTATTTTTTTCCAGTTAAATGTAGTATTGTTACTCGTGCCCTCGGCTGTGCCCAGTAAATGGGAACTCCTCCAAAGTGGAATTACGTAGTTTAATGAACGGACGTAAGAACGCAATAACAACGCCACCTGGCAACCCTATCGAGTGGGTGGGTGGGTGTGTGGTGGCACTGGACATGCAACAATTAAACTGTGAAGGTTTTTTAGCCACTTGGGAAGTGCTTGAGTTTTTAGAGGCAAGGTCAGCCAAACAGCATTACCAAACTGGTTGCCAAGAGGGGAAAACTTCCAGTGAAATATACAACTTTTCAGGCATTTACACAACGCTTATGTACAGACAACACATACGCATACGGACACATATGCAACGGTTGTTATACACAGTTATACACACTACATGCTGCACCTTTTACGGCGAAAACGAAAATTAAAATTAAAAAATTTAACAACAGTTCTTTTTGATTTAATTCGCCGCAATTTTGTGAGTAATGTGCAGTATTAAAACCCACTGAAAACGAAATGTCGATTGAAGAAAACGACAAAAAAAAAAAAACACGCAAAAGGGAGCACACGGCGCTGCATGTGCGCGAAAGAGAGCGAACGAGGCAAGCGCATGACGACGTACACACTTACACACACAAAGGGTAACAGCAGAAGGAAGATAGGAGGAGGAGCAGAACAAATAAGTCTCAGTATGTACAACAATATAACGAAATCAAAGCGACGAGCAAAACTTAATGCATACACAATTTGAGCGATTTGCATGCTCTGGTCCACCGAGAAATCAGATTTCATTTTTAATTCAGTCCAACGCAGCGTGATAATATTAGCAATTATATAAACAGCAGCACCTTTTTTCGTTTCTAGAAAATACAGTCGTTTGCACTTCACTTTTCAGCTGTGCACGCACTCAAATCCAACACACGAATGAAGCAAAAGCAGAAACGACAGAACCGACAGAAACATTAGCTCTCGACGGAAAATGGCGACGGAGAGCACCGTGAGTGACACAACGCTGCTTGAGTGAAAGAGCGGGGAGTGCACTCAAAGCAAATCGGCGGGGGCAGCAATGTTATTCGTATTAGTCATTTGAAAACAATTAAATAAAATACCAGACACAATTCGGTTATAGTACACTAATTAAGTAAAACAAAGTGACTCAATGGCTAGATAAATACAAGCACTCAATCCGCAGAAAGCAGGTCACTCAACCCCCAAGAATGAGGTCAACAAACCGCTCTCTCACCGATTTTTTAGAGAAACACCTTGCTTGTGCGGCGTTGTGCTAACCTAATTGATTTAAAACAGAATATATAAAAATAAGTTGAAATTCCTGATTTGCCTTCACTCAAAATGGCCGAGTAGTCGAGTCAAGCTGAGGGGGAGCCAGTGAGTGGGTCTCTGTTATTTCCTTTAGGGGACTGCCCTCTTTCACTCATTCACAACTTGCTCTCTGTCACTCTTTTCTCATGTACCTGTGTGGTGGGCACCGTTGTTCCGATTTCATCTCCCCCCATCGATCAGCTGATCGTGCGCGTGTGAGAGGAAGAAAATGCGTGAGAGAGTTACAATTTACGACAATTCTAATAGGGTCGCTCGCAGTAACAAATGCACTCAGCTGACCTCCTCAAACCAACCATGTGTGTGTATAAAAATAACGCAGTAAAAAAGAAAACCAAAAGCGAATAAAACGATAACGACTGACTAGTTTTTCTTCCGACTTCATTTTTTTTTTGCATGTTGTCTCCCTTATCTTTATTTATAAAAGTAGATACTGTTTCCTACGTGTAAAGTTACTGAATAAATTTCGTAAATACACTATTAAGTTTAAATGTAATAGTTTTACCAGGAATATTATCCAAAATCGTTTTTCTTTGAATAATAATAGTTTAACCAATTTATCAAGAATATGCAATACACGTCATTAGTTAATAAGTTTCTCTGTAAGCCTTGGTTTTTCTTTAACTTAAACTTTTTTTGTTAGGAATAGGCACAACAATAAAAAAAATATTTTACATTATTTGGTATACCAATAGATATGTTTATATTATAAGGATAATTTCCTATTTTGTTAAACATTTTACAGATTTAAGTATGTATGTATGTATTTATACCAAACTCTTTTGAGGAAGACAACGTATGTAGCAGTGGGTTGTTCGCAGCAGGTGAATGCAAGCGAAGTAATTACAAGTCAATTGTAAATGTGTGCATGTGCACACTGTTTTTTAAATTTAAAAAAAAAATTAAAAACCAGTAACAACAAACAATAAATATGCATGGATGCAGCTCGCTCTCTCGGTCATACATACACACGCTCATGCAAGTGCATCAGCAATGCAGCTGAGTGAGTGAAAGACAGAGTGAGAGAGCGAGAAGGCGAAATGAGGCCACGGTTGCTGACGAATTTGGGACAGGCAGCGGAGAACGACGAAAAAGAAGAGCTGCCCTAACTTTCGTTAACCGATAACAACAGATATCATTGAAAACCAAAAGCAGTCAAACTTCCCTTACTAAACCGAACTTGTTTGATATATGTATGGTGTTTGGAGTTTTAGGAGTTCGACTTGGTATAATAAATATTTTTCAAAAATGCATCTAAAAGCTCTATTTTCACAAATGCACATGCATCAACCTTCATCCATTTCCTATAAATATGTACATTTCTTATACTGCATACCCTTTCGGTATTTTGCCAAAAGTTTTCATATGTGTATAACGATAAAAAAAATAAAACGAAAATAAACTTTGAGATAACATTGTTCTGGATTTATATATTTCGATCGCATACATGATAATATGGTTTTAGTTTGTATGACATATTTTCAAAAAAAAACCACTTGCTTATTAAATAAAGCATTTTTTTTGTGTCTTTGTATCTTTATCCCCCAAATCCCTTTTAAAGATAACCAGTAAGTCGCAGATAATCGTAGCATATTTTTAGTTATGCTTGATTTTTCAAAGCGAAGTTTGTCTCAGAGGTAAAACAATTTAAAGCCTCTTTCTGAGTAACAGTGCACAGGAAAAACAAGAAATTTGTTAAGCAGATTGCAAACCCCTTATCTCAACATGAAGATAAAATAACAACTTCAGGGAATTACCAATAACTTTCATTCAGTAGAACGTCTTCCAGTTAGCAAGAAGCATTAATACAATTTTTCTCACAATAACACAAAATATCGATTTATTCAAAATGAATTCCTTTGACTAAGCAAAATTTTAATTCGATCTTTAACTAAAAGCAAACAGCGGGCAGAATGGAATGAAGGACGACATCCTGTCGTACATCAATTTGCAGATGAATGGTGTGCTCTCTATCGATCCCAATGGTGAGTTCATCGTTGGGGAGTTGCAGCGCACCGAAGAAGGCAGAGGCTTTTTTCGAATCCACTGAACAGGAGGCCCCCTGCTGGGACACATCCCCAGATCTTAGCAGTAGTTTCTTGAAACGACTGGTAACCGTGGACATTTCCGATGTGGCTATGACATTAAGCTCTCCATCATTGTTGGCCTGAAACTCGAGGCTGGGCGACACGTTCTTCAGCTTGTCTATGAGACTTCGGAGCAGTCTTAAAGATGGCAGACTCAAAGCCAACTGGGAGCTTGGCACCCTTGGCACGACATAGGCGGGCCAATCGCTGGCCGGGATTATGGTCACTGGAACATCGTGAACCACTTCTCTGGCTTCTGTTGAAGAGGACAAAAGCACTGAGGCTATTACCGAAATGCAGGGAAACTGAATCCTTTGCAGTTTCAATTTGCAGCTATTAACGCCTCCTCCTCGAAGCACAGATAGAGCTCTTCCGAGATTTGCCGAGGACATGCCCAAAACTATGTACTCCTGATCCGGTCGGGCAGCCTCCATTCGATACTCTGGAAAATACTCATCGGCCGCAATGCTAGCCCAAACTAGGGGAGACGCAGTGGAGCTCTGATCCTCGTTTACGATAAAGTGCATTTGGCGAGAGCCCAGGATCATTACGCAGTCCTTCGCCAGCTTGGCCAGTGTGGCCGCAATAGCCTGGAACTCGCGCATGTACATCGGATCCTGCATCAGGGCACGGAACTTCATCTTTCCAGCAAAAAACTGGACGAGACCAGGAGCTGGATCAACCCGAAATAAAACGGAAAAAGAGAACAAAACAAAAAGGGTCAAACACGGCTGCAAATAACTAAAAATGCAGCAAAAACTATACAAAAAAAAAAAAAACTTTCGGGGTTACTCTTAAAATTTGGTGCCTTTACAAGGCGAATCAAAACAAAGGGAAATTACCTTCGGCACAACTTGAGTTCTGAGTACAAAATTAACTTTCAAATAAGGGAAATAAAAACGTGATCCATTTATTACAAAAAGTTCTTTTAAATTTATGAATTTTCAAATACCATGTGTGAGAAGAACATATTGGTCAATTAAAGGCAAACCAGATCAGGTAATTGTTTTACAACACATCCATGTTATTTAATTATAACGCTTTATAATATGTTTCACGTTTAAAAAAATAAAACTGATTTCTCGGGCGGAAAGTCGCTTTTGGTCATCTGACCAGAGAAGGTGATCGAAGGGCTTTGTGATGGGACGGAGGCAACGGCGAAACTTCAGACCCTTTTCGGGGGGTTAATGAGGTGTGTGGGGCAAGGGAAAAGGGAAGGAAGTTTGTCGGGGTCTCTCGTCTCGTTCTCAACTGGCTCTCACTATTTTCTCCTCTTCTCAGGTTCGAATTTGAGTTCAATGTACAAACGCGCACACACTCAGCCGCAAACGAACGCACACACACACAGCACACTCGCTCATGCACACGGTGAAAGACGGAGAAGGCGAAGGGAGGGAGTAGCGAAGCAAAAGAGCCAGGCAAACAAAGCGCAGAGCGAGTTCCGAGTTGTGTTTTGGCTCTTCTTTTTATTTATTTATTTTTATTTTGTTGGTGGGACGAAACGGTGAGCAAAGAGCAGGCCAAACGAAACGAAGCTCGACGAAAAGAAGCACGCCGCCAGATACAAAAAACTGCCTGGTTCTCCTTGCACACAAAGTCATAAAAAGGCAGACAGGATTTGTACGCCCGTTGGAGGTAGGGAGATTGCAGGGGCGGGGGTTAAAGCGGTCGGCGGAAATCAAATTATATGCCCGTCTAGGGGGTCAAAATATTTCCTTTTTGCAGTTCAATCAACCTTCAAGGTTAGCTCGTCGTTATCAGACGCTCAGTTCAAATTGATAAAAAGAATGGTTGTGCGCAGCTCTTCGTGTTTAGTGAATATACGTCAATTAACCACAATACCATAATGTGTAATATTTCACATATTTAAAATTTTTGTATTTTTAATATAAAGAAAATATTCCTTTTCTTTAAATACTCTGTGCTTATTAAGAATGTTTTAAAGTAAATTAGTTCCTAGCGCAAAGCAGTAGTTGTCTAGCGCAAAGCAGTTCAAATGACAGCTTCTGGGTTAAAAATTTTTTTTTTAAGTTTGTTTAAAAAGTCATCAGGTAAAGCATTCCTTGTTACGATTTTACTAATTGTATACAATTACTTTGTAAAATTTATTAAAATTAAACCTGCCTGAGCAAAAAGCTTAGAAATGCGCATAAGGGTAGAGCTGCCAAGACAGTGATGCCCACTTGGCAACAGCTGTTTTTTTCTTTCTTTAAAATTGACCTACAGTGACGAACATAATTATTGGCACAGTTGGCTTCTTCAACTTGGAGGCTCATTTTCTCCTCTTAAAATGGGGATATTTACATAAAACAAAATTTATTCACATAATATAATTAATTAACAACACAACCCAGTTTATTTTAATATTTTACATCTTATAGTTAATTTTTAAAATTAAAATAACGAAAACAAGTGCCGAATCTTCCTGAACAAAATTATTGGCACACTTGCTTTTAATTTGAAATTTTGGCACAATTTTACCGATTTGGCCAGTTTTTTTTTTTAAACACATTTATTATTATCCCCTGAGTGGTATGGAATAACTTTTTCCAGCTAAAAGTATCAAATTGCCTTTTTTTAAACCTTTTTTTCATAAAATAAGGGGTAAACATAAAAACTCTACATTTTTGGACCGGAAAATTATTTGGAATTTCCACAATCTTGGAAAATTATATGGTGAGATCGGAGAAATGATAGACAGAAGCCTCTAAACCATTACAAGCATCGGGCAGCGTTTTAAGGGCGCCTAATCCTTGAAAAGTAATCAGCGCACAGGTTGACTCAAGGCTTTAGCGACCTTTTGGGCACTTTTTTGGAGGGTTCCTTTAAGAATATCGAAATATTATTTTTTCCCATGATTCCTTCTATAAACTCGAACTCGTCGACACCTGCAGTGGACTTGCAGCCCCACACCATGACGCCTCTAACACCATGCTTAACTGACATAGCAGGGTTTTTGTTTAGGAGTTTTATATGAGGCTTTTTTCAAACAGATTGGCGACCGTCAGATTAGAAAATATATAATTTTTTTTTGTCAGAAAAGATGATATTAGCCCAAAAATCAACTGGCTACTTCAAATTCTCTTTTGCATAGTCCAATCGCTTCTGTTTGTTGACTTTAGAAATAAGCGGTTTCCTTCTTGCGACCCGATACGTATAGTTAGGGCTATGCAGTGTCTTCCGAACCGTAATGGGGAGAAATTTTTTCAAAAACTGTTTTTTCACCCCATCTTCAATCTTTGTTAATGAAATTTTCGGGTTTACTTTCACTTGTTCTATGATTTTGGCCCGCTTCCAGTCACTTAAAGCCTTGAGTCAACCTGTGCGCTGATCACTTTTCAAGGATTAGGCGCCCTTAAAACGCTGCCCGATGCTTGTAATGGTTTAGAGGCTTCTGTCTATCATTTCTCCGATCTCACCATATAATTTTCCAAGATTGTGGAAATTCCAAATAATTTTCCGGTCCGAAAATGTAAAGTTTTTATGTTTACCCCTTATTTTATGAAAAAAGGTTTAAAAAAAGGCAATTTGATACTTTTAGCTGGAAAAAGTTATTCCATACCACTCAGGGGATAATAATAAATGTGTTTATAAAAAAAAAACTGGCCAAATCGGTAAAATTGTGCCAAAATTTCAAATTAAAAGCAAGTGTGCCAATAATTTTGTTCAGGAAGATTCGGCACTTGTTTTCGTTATTTTAATTTTAAAAATTAACTATAAGATGTAAAATATTAAAATAAACTGGGTTGTGTTGTTAATTAATTATATTATGTGAATAAATTTTGTTTTATGTAAATATCCCCATTTTAAGAGGAGAAAATGAGCCTCAAAGTTAAAGAAGCCAACTGTGCCAATAATTATGTTCGTCACTGTATGTATGACGTCACGACTTATTTCACAAATTAACGAAAAATCTGTCTAGAAGTGTGCTTTCACGACATGATGATCGTCGAAGTTTTTTTTGCCATTTTGTAGAAACCTTCGCGTCATTACAACGTGAACAGATTTATACTGAAAATTTAAACAAACGCAGGGGAAGCGAGGAGAAATCATATTAAAACGCTGACAAGAGGACAAAAATTAAACAGAAAATAAAAATGCTGAGAATAAGAAACGTGATTGCTTTGCTGTCTCTCTCACACCGACACAAACACACAAGACACTATCATGTAGATGGAGCACCACCCGCTGAAGTTTGCAGCATAAATAAAAGAGAAAGTAAAACTTAGCAAGATGCGCTCTTCCCCTCCCTTCCCCTTATCAACATGAAAGCAAATATCAACTCCCATAGAATCAACCACACACTCGCAAATGCACATAATTGGGTAACCTACACATACGACAATTAATTCGATTCTTAAAAACTATTCGTAGTATTTTAGTTAAAAACCTTCCAATTTAGTTATTAGCAATTGTGCACTTTTAGGTAGAAGCTTTTCCTTGCAGATTTTGAAGGAAAATGGAAGAGACTTCTCGGCAGCCATTGTAAAAATCAATACCACCAGATTGCCCACACAAAAACGCACTCAAACTCAATTTCCCCCCAACAAGAAACTTCCTGCGGGTGAAGTACTTATTAAATGGACTCTTCTGATCCTCAACTTGTCACAAACCTTTTGAAGACTGTTCAGAAAAAGTAATACAAGAAAATGTAAATGGTCGACATTTTGTTTTCCGTCTCGCTGGTGCCTACATATTTGAAACTTAAGCGTGTGTGTGCGCGTATGTGTATCTCGTCTGAGCTCGATGCCCAAAATATCCGTGGTAAAACACTTTTGCAAAACGTCCTAGGTTCGCTTTATGTAATGCCCCCATTTCCGATTGCGTTCACTGCCATCGCACTTACCTTCCAACTAATTGCAGAAGTTTTCTCTCAATTTGCACAGTTTTTATACACTCAGCAGTTTTCACACGCGACGGAACAACAATGCGCACCAGTGTGACCGCGGCTTGCGACGTTAACTCCTAACGCGTTATCTAACCAACATCGAATATGATTGCCGAGCAATTCAATCGATAGTCAAATAGTTTTCGAAAAGGTCGAATAGTTTGATTTGTTTTCACTTGACATATTCAGGATATTCTCTTTACTCTAAACGGCTAAGCTTATGAGGAGTTTAAAAAAATGTACATGCATTTTAAAATTTTTTCTTTTTAAATCGGCATTATTGTCTATAATTAGGCAATTAAAGCAAAATTTAAAAAGTTATGGCTATTTTTATATGAACCTGTTATTCCAAGTATTATAGTGTTAAAAACTGTAATGGGGTTTTCTCACATCTCACTACTTAAGTACTGTGCCGATTGCGTTATGTACAGAATTTGCGAAGGACACCGTTAAAGTTAGATTTCATATATTTTTTTTCCATACTATTATTACTATAGTAAGAAAATAACGGGTCTTAAGAAAAATAATTAAATGTGTAAATAATTCTAAAAAAAAATGAAATATTGCACAATGAACCCCTTACAGCAAACGGTCTTTCAACCAAATAATAAAATTTTGATCGAACAAACCTCCCCCGAACTAAAAAATTTTTAGATCGGACCTCCCCAAATTTTTCCCTGCGTCCGCCCCTGGCTCTAACTTAAAAATATTTAATTTTTTTTGTTAAATTTCACTGTATATTCTTAAAACATGTATAAATATATTCTGAAAATGTTGAAATTTTTGATGAAATAATTGATCAAGTAGTTTTTTTTAATAAAAATTCCCAAAAAGCACATTTTTTTTGGCCGTCACACTAGTTCTGCCCAATGTTTTCATATTTTTCCCGCAATCACACTTCAAAAATATCCAAATCTGACGGGAATAAAGCGGAAATGACACCACTGCCCTGGTCTCTGCAATTCAAGTTCGAATTTTGATCAAAAACCCCAGTCGAACTAAAAAAATTTTCGATCGGTCCTCCCCAAAATTTTTTTTGCGTCAGTCTTCGCAATTCAAGTTCGCCATAATTTTTAATTTTTACTTTAAGACATTACAAAACATTCTTCAAATATTTTACTAAAATGTTCCATTTGTATAAAATAATGCACTTTTTACTGTTTCTTTAAATCAGAAAAGATTTATCAAGCAAATTAACACATATAAATAATTTTCGGTTTGTTTTCTTTTGATAGGGTAAAAGGCTGATTTTGCCTTGTTCTGTGACGGCTTAAATGTATTTAACTTAAAATTTGTATGAAATAAATTTTAGAATGGGCCAGCGGAAGCCGTCTATTAGATCGCCCTCTATCGCCGAATTCATCGAATGCTTTCGATAGTGTCGTCACTACTTTGCCAGCTCGGTTTTTATTTACTTTTCTGATCGGCGCGTTTCATCAAAAAACAATAATAATAAAAGTGACAAAGCCCAAATTCCATGTAGAGTGTTCAGATAAATAGTTATTAATTTAAAAAAACTCGTACTCAGACCTTCATAAAACTCCTATTGGAGTATTGAGATATAAACAGACATCCAATCAGCGGTACCAAACTTCTTATCACCAAAAACGACAAGCCCAAAAACAAAAACAACAACAGCAAACAAAAACGATAACGCAACAAGGTGAGTAAATTATAAACTAAATAACAGTTACTGAGTTACTCACTCGCCTTCGTCGATTGCAGCAGTTGTTGGTCCGGGGAATCGAGGTTTCCGTGCGCGGAGAAAGTCTAGAGAACCGAGAACTGCGAGGTCTGACGTGTCGCTTGATTTACGGGCGATAGAAGAACAAAACGGAAGCGGAGCAGATATGTGTGGCAATCCGACTGTGGGTAACGGGACGAGGGCGCTGATACTCGTTGGGGGCTACGGCACGCGGCTACGACCCCTGACCCTCAGCACGCCCAAGCCGCTGGTGGAGTTCGCCAATAAGCCTATTCTGCTGCACCAATTGGAGGCACTTGTGGATGCGGGATGTCGTCAGGTGTGTGAATAGTCCTAAAACAATCATTTCAATTAAAAAGAAAAAAGTTCTTGTAAAGTATATATTTTAAAGCCTGTTTGGCCAATTAAGTCTTTGATCTTCAATTACAGGTTATTTTGGCCGTCAGCTATCGAGCTGAGCAAATGGAAAAGGAGCTGAAAGTGGAGGCCGACAAATTGGGCGTGGAACTGATCTTTTCGCATGAGTCAGAACCCCTGGGAACCGCAGGCCCCTTGGCTCTAGCAAAAACCATACTAGCGGCCAGTTCGGAGCCATTTTTCGTACTCAACTCGGACGTCATTTGCGATTTCCCGTTTAAGCAACTAGTGCAATTTCACCGTAACCACGGAAAGGAGGGAACCATTGTGGTAACGAAGGTCGAGGAACCGTCCAAATACGGCGTTGTGCTGTACGATGAAAACGGATGCATCAAGAACTTCATTGAGAAGCCGCAGGAGTTCGTGAGCAACAAGATCAATGCCGGCATTTACATTTTCAATCCCTCCGTGCTTGACCGGATCGAAGTGAAGCCCACGTCGATTGAGAAGGAGGTGTTTCCGATGATGGCCCAGCAACAGGAGTTGTACGCCATGGATCTTACTGGATTCTGGATGGACATTGGCCAGCCCAAAGACTTCTTAACGGGTACGACTCACTCTGAATGACTCTCGCCCAATCTTGATTGCCTAATTACTCTTATCGGTCGAAAGGCAAACGTAAATGTCGCTTCTAATTGTGCTCTGCCTCTTTTGCCGGCCCGGCTTTTTGCGTTATCTATTTTCGAGGTTCTTGGAACTAAGTCGAAATGTTTGATAGAGCGATTTCTGTTTAACTGAAGTGAAGCTCATTTGGCTGATAGCGGGTGATAGGGGAACCACAATAATAGAGGGAATGGTTCGTGATTCTCAACTTATTCTCTTAACATTTCCTAAGAGATATTTTATTGAAGGATACTTTAAACAACTTAACAACCTTATTTATAATTTCGTTCTAGGCATGTGCCTGTATCTGAGTTCGTTGCGACAAAAGCAGTCGCCTAAGCTGTACACTGGATCTGGAGTGGTGGGCAACGTCTTGGTGGATCCCACGGCAAAGATCGGCGAGGGTTGTCGCATCGGACCCAATGTGACCATCGGACCGGACGTGGTCATCGAGGACGGGGTGTGCATCAAGCGCTCGACCATCCTTAAGGGGGCCATTGTTCGTTCCCACTCCTGGCTGGACTCGTGCATCGTCGGCTGGCGTTCCACCGTGGGTCGCTGGGTGCGCATCGAGGGCATCACGGTCCTGGGCGAGGATGTGATCGTCAAAGATGAGCTCTATGTGAATGGTGGCCAAGTCCTGCCCCATAAAAGCATCGCCGCCAGTGTGCCAGAACCGCAGATCATCATGTGAGCCAGTCGCCCCGGCCAGCTAGTGTAAATACAAACATGTTTCATGTTTCGTTCAGTTCCGCCGTTTTGGTATTCGATGAAGGTGCCTTCTGCTTTAGTGTTCTCACCCACGATTTGCAATATCAACTCGATAATGAGAGAAAATCAGAAACATTTCCAACAGCTTTGCTATCTATTTATAAACTAGAGCTCAATTTCCTTCTCAAACGAAGGCGGGAAATCTGACTAATAGTCTGATCATAAATGCATCAGCCCAAACTTTTTTGTACTTTGATAAGCAAACATAAGTTTTAATCTTAAAATTATATACTTTAGTCAAATATACATACGTATGTACGAAAATACCCACAAAATACGAATGTTTTTTTTATTAAAACACAGAAAACAGGAGTATCAGCTTAAATACTAATTGTGACCTTAGCCGGGCTAATTCGAAATAGTTTTTTATTCTGTTAGGCAAGTTTAATGGAATCTGCATGTTTAATCCAAATATTCTTGCTCTTATGGTTTCCAAGATCGCGGGTTATACAAACAGGAGCGCCCCCGACTTCAGTTAAAAAAAAAAAAACTTTTTTTATCACTTCTTTCCGAATCAAGGGCTGTAGCATCAAAACTTTGTGAGGGTCAAGGTCAGCGCGTCAATATGAACCCTATTTGTAGTTTCCAATATTCCGACCTTCATGAGAATAGGCTTACTAATATATATAATTATATTTGAAACTACCGTTTTACAGCTTACAGAATAAAAGACAGAGGTGTGCCGATATGACAAGGTGTTACGATTGCCTACGAAGGGAGATTAGAGTTAAAGTGGCTTTGCTGCGGTAATCACCTTGCTCTAACACATTCTTTAAAATAACTTATTTTAATTTTAACGGGAATACGGCATAAAAATATTTTAAAAATTTTATTTTCCACCGTTTGAAGACGCTATCGGCTGAGCTCCTTTTCCCAGAGCCGCGCTATTGCCTAAGGCTAAGGACTAAGGGTTGCTAGGCAACCAATAAATTTTCAGGAGTAGTCTAGGAACCCACAACAGAAGAGGTACTTGAAGTGCGGGAGAATGTTGAAGTCTCTGGCGCCGATGGAGGGAAACCAACAGCCCCAGCTGCAGTTGCTCTGGGAAGACAAGGATGTCAAGTTCGATGTGCCGCACTTGTAAGTGACTTTAGTTGCAACAGCACCCAGCGGGTTCCACTGGCTGTTTACCCTTTCTTTGCAGGCACAAACACTTGCGCAGCGGAGAACGGGTGCTCGATTACATCTACCACATCGAGGACAGCAAGGGAAACCCGGGGGACACCGGTCGCCTGATGGTCACCAACCTGCGGATAATTTGGCACTCGCTGGTCCACAAGAAGTACAACCTGTGTAAGTGCTTGCTGTAAAAGGTTTCTTCTGTTGGATGAACGTGCTTCCTCCTCGTTAGCTATCGGGTATGCCCGGATTGGCAACACCAGCACTCGCATAGTGCACATGCACTCCAAGGCCAGGATAGCCAGTCAGGCCATCTACATCCTGGCGATTGGCAACGAGAGCTCACGCTTTGAGTTCCTTTTCACCGACGTCTCCGGGGAAACTTCCCGCCGGGATCAGCCCATCTTTGCCAGCGTTTTTGATGTCTATCAGTGAGGGGAATTCGCAGAAAGCCAATCCGAGAAGATACATTGATTGTACTTGTGTTTTTTTTAGCTTATATCAACGAACCTACCTCTACCGCGACCTGAAGCTACGCGGAGCCATCGTGCAATCGGGGCAACTGGTCATCCTTCCGGATGAGCAGGTCTACAGCCAGGTGCAGGGCGTTTGGAATTTGTCCAGTGACCAGGGCAACCTGGGCAGCTTCGTCGTGTCCAACATCCGGCTGGTGTGGTTTGCAGACGCCAACGAAACCTTCAACATCAGCTTGCCCTACCTGCAAATTGAAAGCGTGAGTTCGAATTTATTGAATCTATAAATATTGACTTTTTGGAAAAGCTTATTCAAAAGAATTGGTAATTATAAATATATTTATATTAAAATACGTTTAAAGTCATCATTTGTAAACAGCAAAGGTTTCTCCTAATTAAATATTTATATTTTATTAAATTTGCAAATCTGCTATGTCGAAGATAAAATCGTAATTATATATATTACATATATAAATATATATAAATTAGTTAATAATTCTTAATTAACTATTGTTTTGTCTACTGTACATAAGTCAATGCGTTAAATCTTGAACAATTACATATTAACATATTACTTAAAGTATGTAGTTCAGGGGCGGACGCAGGGGGGTGTCCGGGGGTCCGGACCCCCCAAAATCTCAGACTTTTTCAAATTTCCTTACAGCACACGACTTTTCAACCATAAAAACTAAAATTTTTTTTGGTCGGCCCCCCCCCAAAGGAACAAATTTTTTGATCGGACCCCCCCAAACGTAAAAATTTTTGATCGGACCCCCAAACAACAAAAATTTTTCGATCGGACCCCCCCAAAATTTTTTCTGCGTCCGCCCCTGATGTAGTTCTATTTCTTGTATCCTTGACTTAAAACAAATCCTAAGTTGTGGGATCGATATTTAAAAATAACAATTAATGCAAAATAAATGTACATATTATAATGCGCTCTGCTGGGTAAGGAGGTTTATTTAAGTAAATATGCATCTTTTGATTGCAGCTTCGCATTCGAGAATCCAAATACGGACCGGCCTTGGTAATCCAAACCGCAGAGACGGGAGGGGGCTATGTGCTCGGCTTTCGCATCGATCCGGCCGAGCGCCTCAACGAGCTGTTCAAGGAGCTCTGCTCGCTGCACACCATCTACGGCGAACAGCCGAACTTCGGTATCCAGTACAACGCCAAGGATGCCCGGCAGCGATTGGCAGAGGCCGCCGAGGAAGCAGCCCAGGCCGCCCAGTTCAAGGTGGACAACTTTGAGGAGCTCGACGAGCGCCAGGAGCGTGAGATCAACACCAAGCTGAACAGCTACCTCGCCGAAGGATGTCTGGGAAAGGTTTCCAGTGCGTCGAGCCAGGGGGAACGGGATCCAGTTTACTGCAAGGAGCTGGGCTTCGCCATGGAGCAAATACGAGAGGGGTACAAGCTCCAGGATCTGTGGATCGTCATGCCGACTAAAATGGAAACTATGGAATGAAATGTACAATTATTATAATTTTAACTAAGTAACTAAAACAAACATTTCATTTATTTGAAGTTATTTTTATTGACGCATACAACTCGCTGTGTGTTTAAGTAATTTTGCTTTTTTTTGGAATCGCTTGAAATTGTCTTTAGCTGAGGGCTAATTTTAAACATTTTTGTGCTCCGCAAAATTGGAATTTCGTTCATAATTTCAACTTCTACTCCTTATTGATATCAAAGGTTTGAATTGATTTTTTGAGTTTTCGGTGTTGTCTGGGTCAAGCAAATAAAATGGGCTTCGCTTGTCTTTTGCTTGGTTTTATAAATTAGTTCATATCACAACACACAGTTGATTTGACCGGCATGTTCTTTATATAGATTTCTATATCTTTATATCATTGCTGTTCTTACAGATAGGTCGTACGTTTAGATAAAGATAGTATTACATATACTTGTTTATATTGTATGAATGAATTGTTTACTTTGTCTCTAAGCTATAAATTCTAACAAACTTAATTAAAGTAGGAAAATTAATTGTAGTTGTGGCGTTTTCTCCTCATCATCATCCTGTTCTTTTCATACATCCTTACCAATTTGCCTCACAGGCAGCACATAAACTAAATCGAACACTACCTCAACGAAACGCGTAGAAATAACATAAAATTATAGTGACAAAAGTTGTTTCAGTTGACATATCATTAGCAGGAATGACTTAAATTTTACAATTTCCTTTATACATTTAATACTTTCTCTTTATGATTTGTATGAGGGTTTAACATAAATTCCTAAGTTTTTGCTTTGCGTATATCATTTAGTAAAATATTTTATTCGTAGCGGATGCTTTTTGTTATATCAGTCTTGAAGACCAAGCCAGAGAGTTGTGTAAAACATTTACCGAAAACAAGTGAAGATGGCGTACTGAAACCCGAGGACTCAAGCTCTTCCGGACAAATTCAGATTGCACAAACCAATCGAAACGAAACGAGTCGAACTGCGTGTACCTCACGTTGCTACTGGCTTATCTTACATTCAACTTACTTCAAAGAAAAGACGCAATACGTACACATAAACAGTAACTAGAACCAAAAGACTTAGAATTTAGCGAGTCTCCTACGCGCGACTCTTTCCACTGTTGATTTCTGTTTTCCTTGTTTCTGCCATATCGGCTTACGTTCCAATGAGCGAGCATCCAAGTTCCCTGGAGCTTAGTTGCTGGCGGAGATCTGCTGGCGAGCCCGTTGACGTGTCATGGGCGGTGAGGGACGCGCTGGCGAGGCGGCTGATCCACGACTGCGCTTGGCGGCTCCCCTTTCAGTGGCCGCCTTGCGTTTGGTCGCGCTCTTGCCGGCTGCTACGGCCAGTTTCGCTGGGGAGGTGGTGGACCTGGTTGTGAGCGCAGTCTCGTCCGCCGCAGAAGCTCCGCGACTGCGCTTGGCGGCTGCACTCCTGCAGGGTGCCTTCCGCTTGGTTGGGGCTTTAATCGAAACGGGAAATGCAATCGGATCTGCTGGCGTGGTAGCCGCGATCGGTGGTTCTCCACGACTGCGCTTGGCTCTGCCGCCTGCTGCTGCTGATGCTTTGCGTTCGGCAGGTCGCTTCAGTCCTGCAGCTCCGTCCGCTGAAGAGGTGGATTCCGTATCGGGCGCCTTGCGTCGCCGCTTGGCCGTTAGCATTGGAGCACGACGGCGACGCTTTCGCTTTGGGTCGGCAATGGGCTGGGCAGAGCCTGAGGTGTGTGTGTTGTGGGAGCGGGATCTGCTCCTGCTGTTAGTGGTGGTAGTGGTGGTTGCGGTGATGGCGGTGTTGGTGGTTTCTATAGGGGGCATCGCGACGAATGCCGAACCCTCAGTTGTTGGCAATGTCAAGTTGCTACGACGAGAAAGTATTCCTTAGCTGGCGTTTATGGGAATGTACGGGCAACTCACCTGAGCTTTGGTTTGTGGACTAACTCATCTTCGCCGTCGTCCTCGTCTTCTTCGCTGTCCAGATTTGTAGCGGGCACAAATTTTGGTTTTTTTAATTCAAAGCCGCGGAACTTGTGGCTGTCAAAAGTAAAATAAATAATAAATAGAAAAGAGACTTAACAGTCTTTACTACTCCAAAATATACTGATACTACTTACATTTTAATTGGCGTTATGGGCATTGGCCTGATTGGTTTAAAGAGGCAGAGGTCCATGAGTAGGCTGTCGGTGCTGGGATTGCGCTTCCGGGCGGCTGCAGATCGGTGCAGGGCTGTGGGAGCCACCGTGTAAGTGCGCAGGAAGGCGGCAGTGGGCACCTGGCTGACCAAGGGGACCACCTGTGCCGACGTCACCTGGTTGACGAGGTGGTGGCTCCTTGCGGACACTGTTATGGATGAGGCGGTGCTTCCGAGGCTGCTGCAGCCCATCAGTCCACCTGCGCCACTCAGCTTGCGCTTGAGCGCGTGGTCGAGGATCTTGGGCGCCGGAGCAGGTGCCGGAACAACCGGCGTGGGTGCCGACATGACCAGGGCCTTCTGCACGGTGTCCTTGATGAACTCGGTGCCGCGGTGCAGGCGCACGGACAGGGTTTTCATCAGCGCACTGGCGGCACTGGGACGAGAGGCGACCGTTGCTGTGGGCGTGCCCACTCCGCCGGGTCCCACGCTGGAGCCGGATCCGGCGTTGCTGGCCAGCTTTCCGGCGTCGTAGGCCGGCAGACCGGCGGAGGCCAGCAGCATCTCGGGATCGGGATGTGGCCGACGTGGGACGTTGGTCCTCGACTCCTCCGGTGGAATGCACTGCCTCCGGTGGAATGCACTGCCTCCGGCTCCGGGAAAAGGTGCTAGCGCATCAGCAATCCTCGCATCGATCTACGCATCCATCTCGCCAGCAATTCCGTCAAGGAAGTCTCGAGCAAAAACTAGATTTCTTTTTGTTTTCCCCGTCGCCTTGCACACTCGTTCGTAGTACTACTACACGCACTCGCCCACTACTACAACCACGCACACACACGCCCGCAATTGCACACACACTACAGCTCCATTGTGTGCCGGCGCAAGGTAAAGGACGAGCGACTGGTTGTTGTCCTGGCAGGATATCCTAGGGCCACCGGGCCGCCTCGCTGCTCACTAGTTGGTCTAATCCGCGGGGCTCTAACTTTTGCGGGGAAGAGTGGCAAATTCTTTTGCAAATTCTCTGCAGTGTTTTACGATTCGCTTTTTTCATTCACAATTTTTCACAGCTGGGGTCTATCGATGTATCGATAGAAAATACTTATTTCTTAGTGTTACCAAAGGCAGAAAGACGTCGTTTTTTTATCTTATTTTCAGAACAATTCCGAAGTGGTATCGCAGTTTTTGTAGTTACCCGCAAATATTTAAATATTAACGACAAAATTAGTAGACGAATAAAATTTGTCATACTTTTCTCTGCTAATTAAAATACATTTTATTTTTTTTGTCTTAGAGCAGATTAAGTTTAAGGCTTAGTGATTTTAACGAGCCCCCCTATGCGAAAAGTAAGTAATTGAACATACATAAAACATTACAAGTTCTTTAAAAAAATACAAACAAAACTAAATCATTTTATTTTATCCTTTAACATTACTAAATATACACAAAGATTTGATAAGAAATAAACTAGCATATTATAGTACAGAGTTTTAGGTATGCCTACTTTGTTTTTGGTTCTTGAATCTTTTCAACGGTATTAATTTATGGTTCGCGGGAGGACGCATTTTGACGACCGTCTGTTTATTGTTTACTTATTTCAATTCCCAAAGTGGTGCTTTATATGTTGGCGGTGGTGTCCAGGGTTGTCACTCCATCTGTAGAAACACGCCACGCAGGGCTGCCATTAATCGACGCCGTGGCAGCACAGCGCGCCAGCATAAGCTGGTGTGGTGACTTTTGTGTTGCACATTAGCGCCAGTAAATGTTTCCTCGGTTCAGAACCTTGCACAGCGCATTTCGAATTGCGGATTTTTATCTCGTTTTTGAAACCGTTTTCATCCTGGGTTATGAACCTCAGTGGTCCTGTGTGATGTTAGAATATTCCAGCTAGCTCACTTTCCAGGGTAGCGGTTGCTCACACAATTAATTGCCCACAATAAACAATAAATTAACCTTGATCTACCATTAGTTACCATGCATTAATTATTTTATAACAATCTTGTCAATACTGAACATCAGCTATATGATAGAGTTATCCGATTTTGATAAAATTTTATCCAAAATTTAACATTAGTTAAGAAAACGCCACCATCTGGAAGACACCGGCGTGAGAATTTTTTGTTTCATTCTATCGTATGGGAGCTATCCGATATAGTCGGCCGATCCGGCCGTTTCGACTTATATACTGCGTGCAATAACTACACAGCTGTTGGGAAAGTTACCGCAAGGTAGCTTCAAAACTGAAAGACTAGTTTATTTCGATTCTGGTCGTGATGCTGATGCTCAAATTTGGTAGATCCTCAAAGTTTTCGACAATATGAATAAAAATAAATACATAATAACAAAAATAAAAATCGAATTATCATGAATATAAATATTGTGTCTCTAAGATAGCTGCAACTGAAGCGTTCTTCTTCCCATGTTTTTTTATACCCAGGTGTTATGTTCTTTACTTTTAAGCAATAGTTCGTTTACTTCTATTAAGAGAGTAACCAAGAGTAAGGCCTAACAAATTTTAATATATTTTTTGAATTGCAGAAGAGGCGTTGCAGAACTTTTATCCAATTACAAGTACAATTATTGTTTAGAGGGTTCGATTTGCTGTTATATCTCAAATTAAATATTAATTAACAGGGGCTTGTGAGCCTAGACAATTGGTTCAGGAGAAAAATAGGAATGAATATATCTCATATTTTTGCTGGTTCCATTTTTGCCTCTAATTTTCTACCGACATACTAATTTTTATTTTGGGGCGCTTTAATTCTTTTTTATTTATGTAGCAGGACAAAAAAAGGTTATGTTATATTTAAAAAAACTAATTAAGTTAAATACACGGGTTTTATGTCGTTATTGTATTTTAAAAAAGTGTTCACTACATAATTATTTTGACTAATAAAATTAGTTATTGAACAAATTTATAATTTTCTTGTATAACTAAATATAACCCCGGTCAAAATATATCTTAAATTATTATTTTTTTAATATTATATTAAAAAACTCACTGTAATTATTATCCTCTTATGTTATTATCCTCTTGTGTTAGACTACAAATTTGTAATAAAAGGAAATCATAAACCATTATGGCCAGCTCAGTGAAAGGCATCCGTACAGGAAATAGTGAGCTAATTTAATTTGCACAAGCTATAAAAACTAAAGCCGCTTCGCAGTGCTGCTGCATCATAGAGCTCGTAAAAGCGTAGTAAAATTGAAATTAAATATCCGAACTTATTTTCAGCTACTGTGCGGCATTTGCGGTGGCAATCGAAGATAAGAGCATCGCCCCGTATCGGGTTTATTATAGCAAAATAATTGCCGCGGCGCATGCGGCGCTCAATTTGCGAACCAAACTCGAATCGAAGCAGCAAGCCAACCAAATAGCCGCCTGCGAAGTGCGCACTTTTCTGGGCAAAAATGGGAGTACAAAATGCGCACCAAAACTTATCATAGTGAATATTGAAAAAAATTATTATTTTCTTTCTTAACATCAATCTTATTTTGGTTAACTAAAATTCTCAACTATTCTACTTTGTGTACTAAGTATTTTTCTTTGATCTTTGCTAACCACCAGTAACCTTATTTTTCTCAGTGTGGCCAAGGGGTCGACTGGGAGGGAGTGGGCAAGGCACGCTTCTGTGGTTGGAACACCCCCTACGGACTGGCTGCGATGCTCTCCACTGGGACTCTGCTGCTGTGACAGAAGTGTTTTTTGGCATGTCAAATGCCCGTTGGTTGCCTGCGGAATCCCCCTTTCCCCCTTCCCCTTCCGCTTAATAACATTATCGAAAACGCGTGTTTTGCAGCTCATTATGCGAGGCAGTCTAAGAAGCAACTTAAGAATACATAGGTTGATGAATGTTTTCGCGATCACAACACAGTGGGGCAGAAAGGTAAATTTCTTGTCTCTGCAGATACAAAATTGTAATTTCGGAAATATCACAGTAAAATATATTTTTAAAGTTTTCCAAAGTTTTTAAATCGGTATCAATTAAAAAAACCATGGGTATTTGTTATCAAATCTAGTCAGTGTACCTTGAGTTAAGAAACGATGATCGTCTAATTCTACAAAAAGGAGATGTTTGTTATACTTTTCGAAATTGTGAGATAGAATATCTGAAAGGGTTAAAAAGAACGAATCATTTACTAATTAAATGGAAGCCTTGAATCGCTTTTGAATCACCGATAGGTTGTACCCCAAAAATATGGAAATACAAAAGCCATGAGGGTATTGCCAGCTTCGGCTTTGTAACCCGAGACGGCTTTCCAGTTGCGAGTCAGGTCCTTGCCGCAGTGGCTCGGCTGGAGGTCACCTCGTCGTCGACAGGGATCGCCCCCCATTGCGCCTCACCATGCGCCCGAACCACGCGCTTTGGACTTCTGCGCAGCCGCAGCCTCAGCCAAAGCCAAAGCCTCAGCCAAAGCCTCTAAGGAAACAAAGGCCAGGAGCAGAGTGGCTGGCATTCGCGATGTGGCAGGCGTCGCTCTCGGGGCTCGGAGCTATAATTTTCCAATATGCAGATGTGTTGGTGCCACAAAATGGCGCCGCAGCCCGCTCATTAGAGCGAGAAAGAGAAAGAGAAAGAACGAGTGGAGTGGCGTGGCAGAGCCATTGACAATTATGCAATTTTGCAGCACGACTAAGCAAATTATTTTCACTAAATTAAATTTCAACTCGTGCTGGGCGCACTTCTCGAGAATCGCAGAATCGCACCGCATTACCGCCGGATCCGCCCAGAAACACCGCAGAATCCGGTGACTCCAAGTGCGCCTGTGGATTGACGTGCGGCAGGGCGATGAAAGCTCGGGAGACGTGCCGTGTCCTTGGAGCAGCGCAGCTGCCACCAAGTGGGCTTCCATGTGGAGAGCGAGTGGAGGAAACAAAAGTTGGGCACACAAAGAAGTCGTGTCCTTAGGAAAGCAGTTGATTGATCAAAAGTCATCGCGGCGACAGCAGGCTTGAGGCTTTGTGTTCGACCCGCTCCATCCCACACTGCTGTCAGTTTAATTACTTGCTCATTGGACTCTAATAATTGGAGTTTCAGATGCAGCGAGTATGCTCGGAGTGAAAGCCAGAGAAAAATCATAGTCGAATTGTCAGACTTTAGAACAGCCGATGCACGCACTTAAGCACGATTTTATGTTATTTTAAACCATAACGATTTAAATAGTGCATTATTATCATTGTAAACATTTTAAAACGAAAAGCATTTACTACAATGATAGTGATTGTAGTGTATCACAGCGAAATCTCTTACTTTTGTGGTATATATATAAAGAAATATATAAAAGTGTCCTTGTATATGGTTATTGCCTTTTTTATCATGTTTTCGAAAACAAAAAGGATCGTAAATCTGCTTATAATTTCATGATTAAATATATTAGAAGGTTATAAACTATCAACAAAGCTAATAACTAGTTGAAAAATTAAGCCTTCCATTTACTGCTATACTTCTACTCTACTGATATTATAAAAGTTGGTCTGAAGTATATTGTTTTATGGCTTATCAATATATTACAAATGATTTCCCAATGCTTCTTTGCGGATTAACCTAAATTGACTCAAAACATAGTCCATCTAAATATGGTGTATAAAAATTAAAATAAACTTTCGGAGAAAAGTTATATATGCCCATAATGGAGGTAATTTCGGCAATGAAGAAAATTTATGATCTTGGCTCGCTAGTGTTTATAATCGAGTCGATCCCATAAGATAAATGGTTATTGAAATGCGCAACGCAAATGAATCGACGCAAAGCGAGAGCAATATCGAAATTTGTAAGCAACAAATTCCGCGCATTGTTTTCAACAATTTGTTCAATTCTCCGCTGTCTCTCGGGGGAAAAATCGAAAATCGATTTAGTTGCTTAGAAAATACACGCCAGACTGTTCCTGGCGATGCCAAATGATTTCAATTACATTTAATTTGGCCTCAACATTTTTTCCACAGGTGTGAAGAGGTTTTTCGGTAATGAAAAAACCATAAATCATTGCACAAATGAAGTTGAGTTCGATGTTTTTGGGGCCCTTCGTTTTTTTTTGTGTTTCCCTCATTCTTTATTGTTGTAAAGTGTAACATTGATTAAGCATTATT